CTTTCTTTCTTTCTTTCTTTCTTTCTTTCTTTCTTTCTTTCTTTCTTTCTTTCTTTCTTTCTTTCTTTCTTTCTTTCTTTCTTTCTTTTTTCTTAATGGCATGGAAACCTCCTTTTACTTAAATGCCAAATCCAGAGTCTCACCAAAATATATACACACACACACACAATTTGGATGGATTCCAGAACTACTGAATTCTCAGTCTCTCTCTCTCTATATATTTAAAACAAAGCAAAACAGGTTTATTAAAAAAGGGACAGAAAAGTAAATGACACTGGTATAGGCACAAGTGGGCATGACGAGCTGCCTTGAAAGGAACAGATTTGCTGAGAGAGGCCTGCATGGTCACAGGTAGGTGACTGTGAGTTCAACAGCCTCCCCTGCGGGAGGTCAGTGTAGAGAGGCCCTAGCATGGAACAAGTCGCAGGGGCAGGAGGCAGAAGGTAGGCACAGGAGGCCCTGCAGTGGGGGACAGCTGGTGGAAAGGGGTGCCTGCATAGGATCAAGTGGGCAGAACTGCTGCTCTAGAACTGATTATTAACAAAATACCCCAGGTAATCCTGATGTCAATGGTCAACAGAGCACCCACTGCTAGGAAATTAGCATGAAGGAACAGTTATGGAGTAAATATAAATCTAATTTAAAACTATATGCAAGGTAGAAAATACTGCCTATTAGAAGCTCTAGTTATAATAGTCATATAATACACAGGCCAAAATTGAGGTTTGCTTCTGCACTATCTTCTTGTTTCAGCAGTAGTCGTTATGCAGCAATCTGTGCACATACAACATGAATTTACAGTTTGGTCGGCCTCACATATATTTTATTGTATGAATGACAGAGCATTATGTTCTGAGAATACAATGGTGATCAATTTAGTACAAACTTTGCCTACACAAATATCTTAACTTCCAGGCATTTACAATAGGTATCAACTCTATTTAGTTTAAGGAGGAAAATTTTCAAATATTTATAACTTATTTGTGTTGCTGATTCTACTAATTACTAAACTAACTTAGATTTTTATGCTATTAGTATCTTTCTGTAGAAACTCCAAATACATCAGAAGCAACACAAAACTAATAGGAAATAATATGCAGGTCATCAATAATTTAAACGGGCACTTACCTATGCTTTCCCCATCATCCCAAAACAGAGATCCTTGTGCCATTTGTTTATCATCAGCAGCAACGATTAGCTTCATGTAATTTTTTCGGCTATAAAAAAAAAGGTAAATTTATCCACACTTACAGAAATGTGTATGTATCGTTATGTTATTTTATGAAATATAAATATTCAAAGGAGCACAAATAAAATTTTCAATTAATGGTCCTCCCTGATATTCCAGGGTTTAAAGACAGGATTATTAAGCTATTACCAGCCACTGTGACACATATTAGATCCCAAGGCATGGAGGTTAACCACACGGCACAGCAGACCTCTCCTGTCTCGCCCACTGCTGTAATACCCTCAATAATACTGCTGAAATACGTGCAGCAGTCTATTTCAGTAGATCTCCCTCCTCTGCTCCCCAATCCTCTCTGGTGAGTCCTTCAAACCTATCCCCCTCTGGCCTACACTCAGTTCTTCTATATATAGATAAATAAAAATATTTTTAAAATTAAATTAGCATAAATAAAAACTATTTCAGAAAAAATAAATTAAAAGACTTTGCTTTTGTTAATTAGCTAATGGAAATGATAAAAACCATAAAGGCCTTCACTGAGGGAAGTCTGATCAAAATATCTTTTGATCTCAATAGATTGCCTCCTGTAGAAAAGCAATTAGTACTCTCACTTAAAATAGTTAAAACTATGTAAGTTTAATGACATATTTAATTATTCTATCTCCCAATCCTGTTCTTGATCATTATTTTAGGAACTCACTTCTATTCTTATTACTTTTTCAATTGTTTATTTAGCTATACAACTTTACTTTCTCATACATCCATATATGCACAGTATTCAAACAATGAGACTCTAAATAGCATTTATTTCCATCTGTTGGGACTTAAGCCTTCTCACGTTTCCACACATGTCACTGAATTGTCTTTGGTAGTTGTTAATAACAATGTAGAGGGTAGCCAATAATTGTTATGTCTTAACCTTAGAATGGACAATACCTCCAACTCGTGCCTGCATAAAACTATCTGTAAACTAAGCAACCGCTTCCATGATAATTATACTAACAACTTTATTGGACAGCCTTGAACTGCTAAGAAAGGATTTCTCAGGCAAATGTGTCTGTCTGCCTTTCCAATCACAACTGTTAAAGGCAATACTACCATGGAAGTCTGCTAAGTTATCCAGGATATTGCGAGTTCAAACCTCCATAGCAATTTGATATCTGATATTTTATATAAAATATGCTTTTGCATTAATGAATATACATGTAAAGTTCATGCTCACTAGTATAAAAGACAAGTGTATATTATCAATGACATTAAAAATCTTATTTAGGCCCTCCCTGGTGGCACAGTGGGTTAATGCAGCACTAAGAAGCTAAAACCACTTCAGTATGAGTTTGATCCCCACCCACCCTGGGAGGTGACCACACGGTGGAGCAGACCTCCTGACCTCTGCCAAGGCACCCCTCAGCAGTGCACTTTGTTGATCTTCCTGTTCTGTGCCCTGCTCTGTCTCTGGTGAATTTTCTCACTACCCCTGCACCTCTGGCCTGTATGAATAAATAAATAAATCTAAAAAAAAAAATGATTTAACTGACAAATGTCCAACATGCTTAAAGTTTAAGCATGTATATCTTTACACACATACACAAACAACCCTGATGCCATACACTGCACTGATTTACCCAAAAGTAACTACAGAAACAGAGAATGAGTGAATTTACTTCTTTTTTAATAGAAGGAATCCTAAATGTACATTTCACTCTTTTGAATGCTTAAACAAATCTGTCAGTTCTTAGGCACAATCACTTTGTCTTCTTTGTCATTTATATCACAGTAAAATATTGATAGAAACTTATCTGACACTTTTAATAACTGGAAAGGTCATATTCAAACAAACCAGTGTGTTAACACAAAGATCACCAAGAAAGTGGATATAGCATGAGAAGAGACAGCGTATATTATTAGTGACATTAAAAATCTTATTTAGGTCCTCTCTGGTAGCACAGCGGGTTAATGAAGCACTAAGAAGCTAAATAATAAGGCCCGAGTCCTTTAGTGTGTTAACATTTAAGTTAATAGTTTAGCTAGAGGAAATATGTACTTGGTGACTGGTTAAAGAAATATACTCTCATCTCAGTCACAGCAGGAAGAGTGAACCATTGATCCCTGGTAGATAGAACATTTTGCTGAAGGAGCATCATACTAGGTAAGGGAAATCAAGCAAGATCGTTTTGCCTATATGAAGAATGGTAAGTGATAGAAAATATGGCTTATCTTTCATTTTTAGATGGGAAATGGGTATAAATTTGGTTCTTCTGTGGATAAAAGGGAATTAAGCCATGATGGGTTGTAACATTGTCAACATATAGCTACATTTTCATGGATAAAATGACTCAGAGGTACTTCACAGGACAAATAGAATGATGTGGGGAAAACAGAAAATACAGAAAGAAAAGTTTTGTGTAGTATTTGTTTGAATGTTATAAAAATTCATTTGACATTGAAAATAGTTATTTTTTTTTTCAAGAATGTCAGACAAAATAATCAAAGACATTACTATTCGGTCTTAGTTGGTATGTTGGTCTGAGATGTCTCTTTACTAGAAAAGGGGGTAATGCCTTGGAAAGTTGACTTTCATAAGTCTCTTGTATCTGCATTATCTTGTAGACAGAGGCACTAGCAGGTTTACTTCTGAACTATCTTTAGAAGCAAACATCATGGGAAGACAGGTATAAACTGTGCTATTTAAATAAATTATTTTTATTAATTTGTATAATCGATATTATTTTCCTTTGAAACAATTAATGGACACTTTTTTCTCCAGTTCATTAAAAGGTTGTGCCTCTTTATGCTTGCAGTTCCTTACAAACTTCCTACATGTGGACCAGACTACATCATCCCATATTTTGGGGAAAGGGAATACTGAAACAAACACAAATTTTACATATCATGCTTTATAATGAGTGGGAGTGAACATACTCTGACTTATCATGAAACTATAGTTTATTAACTTTTCAGCTTGAAAGTAGGATGACATCTTAGATGCTTCCTACTTTTCTACAATTCTAGCATGATCCATCTACAGATTTAATGTGTGCTTTGTGAACAGCTTGCTTACCTGTAAAATGTATTTTGAGAAGGTTGTTGGCATGGTAAGATGTGACCACCACGGACATGTAGGTTTATTTTATATAATGGAGCATCAAATTCATTAAACTGTCCTCTGAGACCAATATCTTTACCCTGGAAATGAGAGGTTTGGAAGGAAAAGAAAAGCAGCAAGAAATTGAATCATTAGCAGTTTTGATATTTGGTACATTTATAGAATGTACTTTTAAATTAAAAAAAAAGTAACAAAAATATAAGCATCTAGTCAGGAATGTATTCTTTAAAGAATAGCTTTAGCCCTTAGTTTACTGATTGCTTTGGAAGTAATTTACCACTAACCACTTTTATGTCACTCATATGAAAAAAAAAATATATATATATAAAATCTATGGATCTTTTTTGAAAGTTAATAAAGCTATTCTTGATTTGTCATATAACTACTATTCTTGATTTGTCATATAACTATTAGAAAAAAATGAGTTTCTTTTATATTAACTTTGCATGTCCACCAAAGGAAAATGACCTTTGTGTGTGTATATATATATATATACATATATATATATGCAACATCCATGTTTGTTTGCTAAAATAAATCAATGGTTACATAACAAACTATGTCACAGTACATTTACTATACTTCATGATGCATTAATTTAGCTATAATTCACAAGAAATATCTTACTTTCTATAAGTGGAAACTAAACACTTTAAAAAAAATAAAGGACCAAACTGACACATTACTCTTTAGCTAATTTCCTAGAATTTCTTAACAACTTACCGTATGGTAATCAAACCAGCGAGCATTGGGGACATAGCCTTTTACAACTACTGTATCCTAGAATAAAGATACAATTATTAAGAACATAGAAATCAAGAGAAATTTATTTTTGAACAAAAATATGTGATGGGACTTACAGCTTCTAATACAGGGGTAACCATAAATGCCGGACCCCACAAGAACTGTTTGAATATATCCCAGGTTTCCTTGTCATTAAAGAACCTTGAAAAAATATTCACAAATAATTTAATTAGCTTTATTTCTATAAAGTGCAATATTAAGTTATATTTTGAGAATGAAACTTTGTACATTACAATTAGCATACACTACAAAAAATAGCAGTTCTAGCACTAGGAATTTAATGTGCAAGGTCTGATACTTTATGAGTAAATCTAAACAATGTCTAGCCTTCCTGACAGAATGCAGAGAATTATGGTGATCAGGTAAATGAAAATTCACCTTTGAAAATAACTCACAGACATACAAGTATTAAATTTGCCTAGTATAAGATCAACAAACTAGAAAGTAAAAACTATAAACAAACAATCTGGAAGAAAAATATGAAATGTGAGTATCAGTTATCTTGATTCAACAATTTTACAATATTTGCTTATCTTACTTAAATAGATCTTACTGCATATTGGAAGTACATTTTCTTAAAGGTGCTTCCCTTTTTTAATAGAATTCTAAATCTGAGACATAAATATCTGGAATAAAAAATTAAAAAAAAAAAGAAAAAAAAACATAGTTTTAAGAAGAGAGACAACTAAGTACCCATATTTTTTTTTCTCTAGTTGAAATTAGAGTGCAATTTTTGTTTGTTTGTTCCTTTTAAACTGAGATTAATGAAAAGTTGGACTGCTGGATTTATTTCTCCATGAACTTCCTATGGGGAAAATGTCCCAAGAAAGATTAGTGCTATTCCATTATGTATATATTCCACCCATTAGAATAAAGATCTGCACAATTAATAATGTTTCTGGTTGGATATACAATTCAGGGCTGATTCTGCTTCAGGGAGTTAATAAGGAAAAGCCAAAAGAAAAAGAAAAAGAGAAAGAAAAAGAAAGAGAAAGTATGGATGTGAAAGAGGCAAGATATAAATAAAATGTCAGGAGAGCTATTGAAAGGACTATTAAAACAACTAAAGGATAATATGAATTGAGGTAAATCTTTAAGAGAATTGCATCTTACTCTATTATCAAAAGAGTGATCAATCTGTGTTTTTTTTTTTTTGGCAGTTTTAGGTTACTATTGCTTTAATTAAGCTAAATATTTGCTATGTACATTTTAATGCTTAACAAAATACAATCTAACAATTCTTATTACTAATAAGAATTCTGTATTAAGAATGACAATGTAATTTTTCAATTACTCTGATATTGCAGGTTACACAAAAAATTAATTCAACTGTTTTCTGTTCGTATTTTTGTTCATTTGTTTGTGTTTTATTATTTAACGTCCCATTTATTTGTATTTGTTTTTAAACTAGGACCTGTTAAAGTTTTAGCAACTGTGGCCATAAAACAGAATTTCAATATTTGATGTAGATTTAGTATTTAACTTCTATAAGTTTCAATCAAAACAAATACAATATAGAGAAAACAAAACTTATGTCCAAGAATTTTTGAAAATTTTCACTGTAACAAAGTGTATGAAGTCATCTACAAAAGTGCCTACTGTATAGTAGTTATATCTAAAAAGGATTATTACTTTTTTTTTTTTAAAGATTTATTTCTTCATTCATACAGAATTGGGGTACAGGCCAGAGATGTGGAGGGTGATAGGATTCACCAAAGACAGAGTGGGGAGCAGAACAGGCAGATCGGCGAAGTACACTGCTGAGGGGAGCAGCGGGCGGGTCAGGAGAGGTCTGCCACGCCATGTGGTCACCTCCGAGGCAGGCGGGAATCGAACTCATGCGGAAGTGGCTTTAGATTCTCGATGCTGTGCTTTAACCCGCTGCGCCACCAGGGAGGGCCGGATTATTACTTTTTTTAATAATTGATTAATGCTTTTAATAAATGTTCATTATGCCAGAAGGTATGCTACTATGCAATAAAAATGTCTTCAATTTAATATATTCTATATTTTGGGCCCTCCCTTGTGGCCTAAAGGATAAGGACGCAGCACTGCAAACTGGCCACAGCCTCTTCAGTGCGAGTTTGATTCCTCCGCCCTGGAGGTGACCCCTGTGCCCCTTAGCAGTGTATTTTGTGGATGTGCCTGTTCTGAGTCCTACTCTATCTCTGGTGAATCCTCTCACTGCTCCTGCATTTCAGGTTGTACCCCATTTCTGTATGTATAAATAAATGAATCTTTAAAAAAATAAAATATTCTACATTGTGCTACAAGCAATTATTGACTAAATTACATAAAATGTATCACTCTGTGTTAGGAAAATAATTTTATACTCACTCATGCAAAAGGGGTCGGATAACAGTGCCACCATTAGCATGAGCTTCATGCATCTGTGTATAGAAATAGGGCAATAAAGTGTATCTAATATTTAGAACGTCCCTGGACATGTTAGCAAAAGTCTGATTCCAGGAAACAGGATCTTGTCTCTGTAACAGAGAAAAATGTAATAGTTAAAAATTATTGTTTTTATTAAAGCCATAATTTTCAAATACATATTTTAAAAATAAAAGCATAAATCATATTAAATTGCCACACATTATATTCTATATGCATAAAATATTATGCAAACATTTATACCATGTGATGCAAGTTAAAATATTAATACTTAATAGAAATAATAAATTAAGCATATGAATTGACTGATTTTATATGATCATACCTAGAGAGCAGTTTACATTTCAATAGATGACAATTACATTTTCAACTATGGTGATACTCTGGGTTATGGTGAAAATTCTAGGAGAAATATGAAATGCATCATAGTGAACTTGTACATTGTTCATCCCATAGAAAATGAGTGGAATGTGTTAAAGAATTAATCATATAAGAAATGGTGCCAATATTGGGAGACCAGAAAATAAAGGTGTCCAAGTATGCTGTGGAAATGTACTGCAGTTCAAGTACTAAAACTGATACTGGAAAAAAAAAAAATGCTGCTCAAAAATTACAGCCAAGGGAAATAATTAACATTTTACATTTCAATGGCTTGGCGCATGTCTTTTAAATATGTTCATTTTATGCCCTGTTACAGCTAATTCAAATGACTTTTGACAATTCATTATTTAGTTTGAGGCTGAATTTTTACTGTTCTATAGCATTTTGAAAGAAATCCAGAGGCAGGTATTATATAACAGCAGTAAGTATGCTAGCTAATAAAGTCATTCACCAAAATGTATAAAGAAGAGTAAAGCAAGTTTAAAATTCTCAAACTGCTGGGTTTAAATGTACTCAGAAATGTGAACTGGTCCAAAGTCTTCATTTGCAAAACATTGATGTAAGGTCAATTTTATTTAAAATATATAAGTATAGAGAGGAAACAGTTTACAGTATGTGTAGTAATTACATACTCTAGTAAATGCAATGTTGTGATTTCTTGAGTATGGATAAAATGCTCCAAGTTGCATCCAGCGGGCACAAAGTTGATATTCTGAATTGTTGAAGAATCCACAGATATCTGCTCCAGTCTAAAACATATTGTTATATTTAATTAACATGTAACAAATGACATCTTAAGACTTACAAGTTATGAAGATAAAAGAAGTTGAGCCACTTACATAAGATATCCCAAAGAGACTAAATTCCATCATACCTAAAATAATTAGAACAACAAAAAAATTAGAAAACTACTTTTTTATATGTTTTAATATTTGCTTTTATCCTATTTATTGAGATATTTTACCACTAATAGCAACCTCTTATTCAAGGAAATATTTATCAGATTATTAATATGTTTTATCATTCTTTTCATAATATTTATACATATTAGCTTTGACTCTTAAAAGATGACATATTTAGAACAAAATACAGTTACATATTATATTATTAAAAAGAAGTGGTCATGGTTTTACTGATTTCATTTTTTATAATTTAAGTTTGAGTCTTCAATATTTTAACTGTAGGTCTTATTATTTGAAGCAACTGAAATACTCTTATTAAATAAAGGCCAATGAAAAGTGATCATTTCAATTAAATAAAATGTTTTTGCCTTCTTAACTCTTCTTTTAAAGGACTATTTCTCTCTCTCTTTCTTTCTCTCTCTCTCTCTCTCTATATATATATATGTATGTATATGTGGATATGTGTGTACATATATATATATATGTATGTATATGTGGATATGTGTGTACATATATATATATATATATATATATATATATTTCCCTTGAATACTACTATTAATAGCAAAGACTTTTTTTAATATATATGAATTAAAAGTATCCATGTCCTCTTTAAAATAACAGTGATGGACTCCATTCATAACATTGTTGAAAAGATAGGCTAGAATCATGCTCTTGCTAGAAAACAACTATAAACTTAAATAGCATTTGTTTATAGGAACACCCAGAAGCTTCAACTTAGCCATGCAACCTCAGGACTTTCCCAAGGAGCTCCAGAACTAAGATCAGTGGCCACTGAGAGGAAAGAACAAGACAAAATAAAGGGGGCAGTGTCCAGACTGGGAGTTGACTTCTCAAGCCATGACTGGGGCAACTCTTGACATTGTTAAATTCCTTGAAGGGATTTTATCAACATGTGAGTGGACAAAGACCTAAGTGTGGGCAATGGTATCTATACGCACTCAGACTCAAAATATTGGGAAATCTGAGGTTGGAATGGCATGTGACCAAAAGCAAACTCTCCTGACCATACTGAAAGAGATCAAAGAGAAGCCAGGCTAAGACAGGCCCTGCATCATAAAAAATTCAAGAGCAGAAAGAAGGATTTTAGAATTAACTCATTATTCTCTGGAAAAGAAAACAAAGTACACATATACTTTGCAGTAACTCAAGAGCTGCAGTTGGACAGTGATGTTAAGTTGTTACAGTGTTAAGTTGCCATAAATTTGCCTGTTATGTACACAATATGCCTTTTGGTCAAGTGCAAATTCATCCCAGAACATGGTTCTGGTGGTCCAAATACTGGTCTCCATGATGGGAAACCCAAACTTCATAGATCATGACATATAGCAGAAAAAGACCAGTAGGGATGCCGGATGGAAAATGAATATAACCTAAGCGTGGGATATAACTTGCTGTGGGGTCAAAGAAGAGATAGAAGTAACTGATATAACTCCTCCAACTGAAATGAACCTCACATCAAGGTAAACTAAAAATATAAACAAAGGGAATTTATCGCAGGGCTCCAACCATGCAGACAAGCAAGCATTGCTGTATAAAAGGCAATATACATGCAAAGTAAGCAGGTCACAATCACAACACAACATGGAAAAACAAAATGAGAAAGAGAGAAATCCTGGAATAGCTATTAAGTAATCAGATTAGATAAACTACCTGACAACAACTGCAAATGAGCAACATTAAAAATTGCAAATGACATACTAGAAATTCATCTATAAGCAAATAAACAAATATATGGTCTCAGAAAGGATAACCAGGCACAAAGAACATTCGTACTAAAGGAGATTGAATATATTAAAAAATCACACAAAAAAATCTTAATGAAATTTAGATAAATCTATACAGGGATTTTAATAGAATTAAACTGGCAGAGAAAATATTTCAGCTATAGAAGACTCAAGTTAGCAATTTGTACATTTAATAGAAAAGAGTCAAGAAAGAGGAAAAAATTAAGAAACCCTGAGTTATAACAGACTAAATTAGAAGAAGAGAACTAATAATTACAAGTACTCCAGAAGGGATTAAAAAAAAGAAAAGGAACATAAACCTTATTCAAAAAATAATTAGCAATTTCAAATCTCCATAATGAATTAAATATGGATGTCCTGGAAGCAGAAAGAACACCTACATTTAAAAATGTAAAGTGGGCCCTCCCTGGTGGTGCAGTGGGTGAAAGCACAGCATTGAGAATCTAAAGCCGCTTCTGCATGAGTTCGATTCCCGCCTGCCCCAGAGGTGACCACATGGTCTGGCAGACCTCTCCTGACCCGCCCACTGCTCCCCTCAGCAGTGTACTTTGTCAATCTGCCTGTTCTGTTCCCCACTCTGTCTCTGGTGAAGCCTCTCACCGCCCCTAAGCCTCTGGCCTGTACCCCAGTTCTGTATGCACAAATAATTCTTAAAAAAAAAATGTAAAGTGACCTATAACTAGCTGTATCTTTGTCAAATTATCAAAATTTAAATATAAAGAAATATTCTTCAGGAGGTAAGAAAAGAACATACACGTACTTCCAAACTGGGTCCCCTGTATCTCAGTCTAGACATCAGGCAAGGAGAGAGTAAAAAAATATTTGCAAAGATAAAATACACATCTTCCAGTCAGAAAGTCTCTATCTTCTAAAATCATCAATTAAATATAAGAGTGCGGCTCTTCCTGGTGACTCAGTGGATTAAAGTGAAGCACTATGAATCTCTACGAAGCCTGCTGAAACAGAAGTTCAATCCCGGGTGGGGGAGCAAACCCACATGGCACAGCAGACCTCTACTGACCAGACTGCTGCTCCCCTCAATAGTGTACTTCAGTGGATCTGCCTGTTCTGTTTCTCACTCTGTCTCCAGTGAATCCTCTCACCCCCCATATCTCTGGCCTGTACCCCAGTTCTGTAAGCATAAATAAATATTAAGAAAATAAGTAAATATAAGGATATAATAATATTTTCTCTGAGAACAGAAGTTAATTAAGTTTGCTGTAATTAGACATGCTTTCTAAGTAATAACAAAAGGAATTTTTCTACAAGAAAGAAAAACTGAAACACAAACTCCTGAGCAAGTGAAAATGGCAGTACAACACTAGAAGCATGAGCAAGAAAGTAATAATAGCAAAATATTATTTGGGTGGGGGGAATATGAACAGAATTTGTATAGGTATAGGTCAGAGAGCAGACAACAGCTTATAAAGGAATAAAGGACCTAACACATAAGAATTTAAGTAAAATTCATAGCATTTATAAACCACAGAAGAAGTGAAGGACTTGGTAGAAGTAGCATGGAACAAATACCAGGAATAGCACAGAGAAGCAGTGGAAAAGGAAACAACAGAAAATAAAGCAATCAAAAACAAAAATGATAGATACTAAAAAATAATAATATCAATAATCATCCTAATTGTGAATGGTCTGAACACACCAGTAAAAATGCAGAGGTTAAAGATGTAGGCAAAAATTTCCTATCCATACTCTGTTTATAACATAAATATTTAAAATTGAATGACTGGAGAGATCATGAAACAAATAATTGGATGGAATATTACACAACTATGAAGAAAGATGAGATGGTGACATTTAGGATACATGTTGGACTTCAAGATGATTATGTTGAAAAAAATTAGTCAAAAAATGAAAGATATCAAGTGATTTCACTTCTCTGTGGAATAATATTATACATACACACATAAATAATAGAAAGAATAATAGTTGAACCATATTTTATACACACACATGCACATATAAGAACAGAAGAAATAATACCTGAACTGTGAAAAAAGAAGATAATAATTAGCGAGTTAAAAGAGGAAAAAGTGAAGAGGGTTTGGGGAAGGTAGGCAGATGGGCTTTGGACATAGGGGTTTAATAGAGACAAAACAAAAACAAACAAAATCAAAAACAAATAAAATAAAATGACATTTATTTTCCTCTCATTTAATTATTTTCAAGTAACTTTTAAGTTCTGGTTTTAAATGTTTCATTTTTTGACATTTATTTCTCTAGATTTCTAGATTTTTATTCTTAGTTCTAAATGTTATCCTTTTCAGTTCCTGCCATTCTAGTTAGGAATATGAGGGAGAAAGGGGTTATACCATATTTCAAAATGGACAAGAAGGGTTTCGTTAGATTCTCCATGGCATCCATATCCTGCTTCCTACTCAACTTTGTATTCCTGATATCAATTGTGACTAAATACGATGCAAAATAGAAGTTTCAAGAAAGTCTCTCCAAATATATGAACTAGCATAAGCTAAATTAAATAACTCATATAATGCTCATAGTAGTAAGCATAAAGTTCAGAATTTTCACATACCAATGATTGATTTGTCTAAGTTGTCCCACTCTGCATAGTTGTCACCAAGCCAGTGTCCTGTCCATCGCCCAGCAGTTGGATATGTGGAACGAGAAACAATGATTCCTCTTCTGCCAGTTACTTTCTGCAATGCACTAAAATAAGTGGGGAAGAATTTATTAGTATTTACATTAGATATTTATTATTTGATTGAAAGTGTCAATTTTATCTTTTGGTAAATCTAGCTCTTATTATTCACGCTACTATAGTATAAAAGTTCTAATAATAATTACCAGGACTTTCCAAAGTGGGCTTCATATATGCTCAATTAATATTAACTAAGGCAACCATTAACATGACCAAATGAACTATTCATATTGTAAACTTTTTGAATGAACTAATTTTATTATAATTAAAGGTGTTATTATGCACCTAAATTAATTGTAATACCATTACCTAAGGTCAGAATTGTATTTTTAAGTATGTGTATGCATTTATTTCATTGAAGCAACATTGGCTGTATCATTGTTTGTGGTTTAGAGGTATGTGTTCTTTATAATAAAAAGTTTAGGTTGTAATTACTGATGGTTCAAACCCTTCTCAATTATGACTTGTCAAAACTTGACTTCCATATCACTCACCAGATAATCATACTCTAGTATTCCTTATTTTAAACAGTGAAGAAATGGATACATTTTTGAAATCATGTAACTGGAATTATGTAACCATCTGAGATGAAGTAGGAAAGATAAAGAAAATAAATAGACCAATCACATCAAGGGACTGAAAATAGTATTGAGACTTCAATTTCTTTCCAGTGATAACATTATTTAAGATGTAAAAGGGCTTCAAACATGTTTACATACATTATTTAATCAACTATTTGCAACCCTACCATTAACTCCCTTGAACTTATATGCCTGTTTATTATAATCGTATTGGGATAAGTGAGTCTTTTAAATTTTTGAAATCCCTACAATGTATCAGGAACAATCCTGTATCTTGAATGTGGTCCAAGATTCTAATCAATGCCCTGTATGAGGAAAATACTTTATTTTGATTTCTCTTAAATTGTGTACTTCTCTTTTAATATATATAATTAATTCATGAGTATATTGTCATAAGTTTGCTTCAATATACATATACATATGTGGGTATACATATTTATACATACTATCTATTTATGGATATGCATACATACACATCTATACATATATAGAAACACACATATACTACTGGTAAAGAGAAGTTAGCTGTGAATAGTTGAAAAAATAAAAGGCACTGCTGAAGAAAAGTATTTTTCCTTAAAAATCACATTTTCTAGGCATCATATACAATTGTAGAGTCTTTACACTATGATTTTGTGAACAATTTTGTGGTTATTCATTTAAAAATAATTTCTTAAATAATCAACCTATTGTAAGTTAAAGAGATTGGTGCAGTGATAAGGCACACAAGGAAATATTATGCTTTACTACAGAACATGTTTTATTCCTTTATCACCCTCATATAACTGAACAGCACATTTCAAATCTGGAATCTCATCAGAACCTGCTATGGAAATTTACTTACATTCAGATATTTAGACTTTAAGACTGACCTATTAAGGCAGCATTTTTTAAAAATCATTTAAGTGACTACAATGCATATTTAATATCCAGTGTTTTGAAGTTGCATTGTGTAATATAAGAGCCACTAGTAATATGGGGCCATGATACATAATTGCATTAAAATATATTTACCTGAAGTTCAACTTAAAATTACTTCCCTAAGTAACATGTCTCATTACTCACAATAATGTATGGCTAGTAGCTACATTATATGAGTTATAGAATTACACACTCACATTATATATATATATATATATATATGTATGTATATATGTATATATTATTTTTAGATTTTTAGAATTACAGAACATTTCATTTATTTCAGAGTGGCCTGTGTGCCATTGTAATCAGTGTTAAATAGAAGTCACTTGGTATGGTCATTTAACTTTGAGGAGCTGCAAATCTCCCACACGTATCTAATTTCATAACAACTATTTTATCACAATTATTTTAAATAACAGATTTAGTCATGCATTGATTTCTAAATTAATGACATCATGTTACATAAATTATTTGCTCATTTATAAATGGAAAATTAGGGGCCCTCCCTGGTGGTGCCACAAGTTAAAAAACAGCACTATGAAGTTATTGCAACCACTGCAGCACATGTTCAATCTCTGGCCTGGTGGGTGACCCACATGGCATGCCATACCTCCCCTGCCCTATCCGCCGCTCCTCTCAGCAGTGCCTTTCAGCAGATCTGTCTTTTCTGCTCCCTACTCTCTTCTCTCTCTGGTATATCCTCTCACACCCTTGCCTCTAGCTTGTACCCCAGTTCTATATGCATAAATAAACAAGCCTTTAAAAATATATAAATAAATTAAAAACTATACATTGAGTATTTACTTTTTTCAAGCACTGCATTCCTAAGAGCTGCTGTGTACACAGTGGGAAATAAAGCTCTTTAGAATTAGTTTCTGAATGATACATAGTTTTTAAATATTGCATGCTGAGAGAGGGAAACAACTGTTATAAAATTACAAGAAAGTATAAGTCAATTACAGAAAATATTGGTAAAGAAAAGGCATACCAGATAAGATTAAGTCAGTAATGAAAGACATTTAGAGTAAGTATTACTGTTTCTATACTCTAAAGGCTCATAGTATTTGAAAAGATAATAATGCACATTGCTTACTCATAAGTAGGTTTTGCTTGTGACCATCCATATAGATTGTGAACATTATAATGTGAAACTGATGACCCATCACTTAGAATATGTTCAGTTTCCATACACAAAGTTCTGAAATGTAATCCATCAGTTCTTTTTGTGAGTGCTAGGAAAATCAGTGAATAAATATTTTAAAAATTAATTTATATCACAATGTATAAATAACCATTATATATTCTTTTGACAAAACAAATCATTTTCCAAACTTTTGTTTAATTTTAACCTTTGGTACAGTGCCTATGCCAATGATACATGAAAATAATTGTTTTCACATTGAATAGTTTTAAATGTGGCTGAAAAAACATGTGAAAAGTTCTACTATTTCACATTGAACAGTTTTAAGTGTGACTGAAAAACATGTGAAAAGTTTATATTCTGTAACAAAGATATGAATTAACATAAATCAATAAAAATCTAAATGAAGTTTATTCCTAAAATATCATTTATTAAATAATAATATTATTTCTTTTTTCCAAGTATAAAAATGCTTTTTTTTTTAAGACTTCTTTTTTTAATCTTAAAGAGTACTGGTCCTATATATGAACCTGAAATATCTCCACATCTTTGTGTCTTACTTTATTTATTGTGATAGTGAGTTGTAGTTTTCAAAGTACAGATTATATGCAGTATATAATGTTGGTGAGATTGTGGAGGAAGTTAAACACTAATTTCCTTTGGTAGTACTATAAATTATTACAGTTATATAAAAAATGTTATGGAAGATTTCCTAAAAAAAAAAAAAAAACTTAAAAAGGAGGTGATCCAGTAATCCAGTAGTAGGCATTTACTCAAATAATATGAAAACAATATGTAAATGTTTATGCACTCCTTTGTTTATATCAACATTATTCAGAATAATTATATCATGGAATCAAGCTAAATACCTATCAACAGATGAGAATATAAAGAAATTATGAAGCATACTACATGTTGTGCTACTCAGCAATTTAAACAGTCAAAATAGTGATTTTTGAAACAAACAGTAACTTTTGAGGTTTTTATACTAATTAAATAAGTCAGAAAGTGAAATTCATTCACCAGATGATTTTATACATTTATCAAAGAGAGCAAACTGACAAAATTCAACAAAAATATCTCCTAGACTTATGAAAGTGATAATTGCTATGAAAACAAATGGAGAGAAAGAGAAGGGAACGGTGGTTTTAATGTTGTAGGCTCTGGATAAGTTAAACATTTGCATGTATTGAGGTATGAAATACTTCTCTCAAAATTATACATCTGTAAAATTAATGGAAAAAAAACAATAAAATGTCATTAAAATTAATATTGACAATGTTTAAACCTGGATCTTTTAATTGTCATCTTTTTATTGAGGTACCACTGGTTTCAATACTATATTTTATGTAGGGGAACAGGTGCACATTTTCTCAGATACATGTCACTAAATCATGTACACCAGCAGTCAACTGGAATACTTCAAAGCAATAAGTTCAAACAAATTAGAAATGTGTTAGTATAGATAAAACATGCTTCCTAATTTTCATCTTAAAATTATGTTGAATAATAATGATAATAAATCAAGCTGTGGCCCAGAGTGTAGTTATAATAGTTATTATAGTAGGAATTATGAATCCTGTCCCCTTCATCTGATTGTAATAGCCTGATAAAATCAATGATATGGTAACAATATAGTACCTGGCATATAAGGAGGATAATTTAGCTCGTCTTTCCTGCATTGATTAGTAACTGACCCATGTACAAAACTTGATGGCTCATTCATATCCTAAAAACAAAACAGACATGCATGCTTTTTTCAAAAGAACTAATTCAGAGTCAGTAAATTAAAGTAGGATATTTAAAGAATTATTCTCCTATTTATTATTCTAAATAGGAAACTATAAGGCATTTCAATAATACTAAAGTGTTTAGCTCAGTGTTCTTAATTTTTAAAAATTCATACTTCCTCTTAAAAATATAATGATATTTTTTTTTCTGCAGAATATATATTCAGTTTTTTAAACATAACATAGTGCCTTACCTTTTCCCATTGGCTTTCCCTCAACTATTGCCATTGATGTTTTTATCAATTGCCTTTACTTGAAAACCAATAACATATAGTTTGTAAATACAGAACATTTCCAAGTGTATTTCTACTGAGCACATGTCTCAGGATTCTCAGTAACTGTATACAAAGAAACCGACATCTAGATATATAAATTAGTTTCAATTTTAAGTACAAAAAAAGTTATCTCCTATGACCAAGGTATAGTTCATGGGAATATATATATAACACAATTTATTATAACACAAGGGTTTATATATCGAATTAGCCTGTATTCCCACCAATCAAAGTACCTTTTTTACAATTTTTTATGAAAGTATGCTTTACTAGTGTCATCAGTCATAGTGTAGTGCCGTGAACCACATTTTGTAATTGTTATATAATAGCCACTTATAAAGGTGACTTCAATTAAATAGTTGTTAATTGATGCACAGGTTGAAAATAAAATAGAGTAATAAATAGTTCAAGCATCTAACAAAGTATTATGAAACATCTATATATAATATTTATTGTTGATAAAGTAATTTTTTTGATAAAGTAACTTTTAATGCTATCATTAAAAATCTTAACTACATAAGATTATATCTAAGATTAGAAATTGAGATAATTTTGTTAATTTTGTTAATGATGATAATTTATTATATTAAAGACTGAGAGGGAGATTTATTTAAACATTGAATGAAAATAAATGTTCACACACACATATGGCAATAACATATATATGCATAAACATACATATTTATAATTGTTAAAACTGTATTTCAGTGGTCTCTTATATAAGAAAGTTATCTAGAAAACAATGAGTGGGCTGTATCTTGTAAGGTCCTAAAGCTGATTTCTCTTTTTTAAAAAGCGAGTTACTGATTCAAGATTGATGCCCAGTCATTCATATTGAATGGGCTCCAAGAAAACTAACAACAACAACAACAAAAACAAGCCTAAGTATATGACCATTTCTGCCATTGGAAATATGCCAGGATTTAAACTGTCACACTCCCTAGAAGATTTTTTTTTTTTTAAAGATTCTGCTTGATTTAGATATCTGGTAAATTGGGATTGAGATCCCCCTCACCCTTTATCTCAAGAGCCCAAATAAAAGTAGGACCTCTAAGTTCTCTGACTCTCTCTCTCCTCCTCTTCTTCTTTTCCAATGACTTCAAAGTTACCCTAATATGCTATAAAATTCCCATCTTATATGTAATAGACCTCTATATTTTCAATTTATTGGCAGTCATCATAGAAGGGGATTTTTACATCATACTAGCCCTAAAGGCAGTCTTAATAATTGGAAGTATTAATATTGACTAAAAAAGGGGGAGAGACGGGCCCTCCCTGGTGGCGCAGCAGGTTAAAACACTGCACTAAGAAGCTAAAGCCACTTCCGCATGAGTTCGATGCCCGCCTGCCCTGGAGGTGATCTACATGGCGTGGAAGACCTCTCCTGACCCGCCCGCTGCTCCCCTCAGCAGTGTACTGCGTCGTTCTGCTCCCCACTCTGTCTCTGGTGAATCCTCTCACCCTCCGTATCGCTGGCCTGTACCCCAGTTCTGTATGAATACATAAATAAATCTTAAAAAAAAATTAAAAAATAAAGGATGAGAGGAGAATGTAGAAAAATCACCTGGACCCACATGAGTATTTTTCAGTTATTATTACTATTAATGACATTACTAGAATCTGGTAAAATGTGTTTGTGTTATCACTATTCAGTAAATAACTTATATTATGAACTGCTTATTATATACTTACAATCCACAAGCCATCAAATTTCGTGTGATTATTGTAGAAATTTGTAATTTCATTTGCCCACCATTCAGCTGTTGAATTCTTAAAGAAATCTGGAAATGCTACATAAGCTCTTGAAGCCTGTTAAAACAAAACCAATAGCCTCATATAGAAAATAATAACAATGACCCCCCCCCATGCCTAAACCAGACATTTATAGAACACATGTTCTACACAAGTGATAGATTTCCTCCAACCACCTTACAGTGTTGGGGAGTAAAAGGAGAGTGAAAAATACATGAGGAGATAAATAGAAAAACCTTTGAAATTTACCAGTTCAAACCACACATATACAGATTTTAGGGGCTTTTGAGCTTGAAAGGATGTGTCTTTATTACTTATATCTTTAGACTTGTACAGTTTTTCGAACTTGATTGGGAAGGAATTGCTTAGTTAACAAGTATTTTCTGATAAAAATATTTTTACTAAGGTGTCTGCTCTTCTAGAACAAATAATTCTTTCTACCACCATGACTATTTTTCTCTTTTAGATCACAAAAAAAAAAAAAAACATTTTATTCCTTTCCTTACTAAAAATAATTCCACTTGTCAGTCTACAAATATAAATTCCAAAGTAGGGATTCTTGTGGTAGCAAAAGATTGACTGAATGTTTTACTATCACAGTTTTAAATCTATGCAGTAAAAGTTCAAATAGACTTTTAAGTAGACAGGATATGGATGGGGCATTTTATATATATAGAGAAAGACGGAGTAGAGAAGAATTTTCAAAATTCATGTATTCTGGATAATTTTGGAGTTGAAAGAGATTTAAAGCTATTATTTTTCCCTACAATTGTACTAAACCTACTTGGATAATGATCAGTCTGGTTATATCAAGGCATAACTTCTATGCTAGGAACTGTCCTAGATCAACTATATGCAATTATATGCAAACAAATCAGATAACTGAGAGGAAATGTTTAAATTCCTAGAAACATAAAACACACTAAAAGTAAACCATAAAGATTTAGAAAATCTGAATAGACTACTTATTTTAAGATGATTGAATCACACAAAAAGCAACAACAACAACAACAAAGAAAAGCTCAAAACTTAATGGTTTCACTGATAATTTCTATCAGTGTTTATGGGAGGTTAATATGAATCCATTTTAACTTCACTCCCCCTCCCCACCAAGGGGGGGGACTGTAAAGGAAAGAATACTTCCAAATTCACTTCAAGAGAGTAACAATGCTCCGATCCCAAAATCAAAATAAATAAATAAATAAATAAAAAGAAAAAAGAAAGAAAGTAATGTAGTGTTAGTGAATATAGATGGAAATATTCTTAACAAAAAATACCAAGAAAAAATATTTAACATTAAATACAACATACAACTTGATTAGATAACATTTTTATCTGTGATGCAAGGATATTAAAATGCACAATAATCAATTAACATGATATGCCATATAAACAGAATGAAAGTATACATTTCATGGCATCCTTTATAAAAATAGAAAAAAAATCCTGAATTTCATTTGGAACAAAGAGATCCTGAATAACAGAAATGATTTTATATATATATAGCCAATTGCATTTTTTTTGCTTGCTTATTTTATTCTGTTGCTTTTACTTAAAGTAGCAACATTTTATTTTTGTATACTTTTTAAATTTTAATATAATAATTTATTTTTACATCATTTTGTGCCTTTTTCCATCTCAGTTGTAACGCCTGTGGGCTTCCCATCACCAAATTACCTGTGTTCCATCACCATAGTCCAGTGCCCTCTCCCACCCCCCATTTTTGATCCCATTCCCCATAAAATATCTCTGGTATATAGTTGTTCATTATTACTCCCTCTCTCTCTCCCCCAGGTGTTTATATTCCTGCTATGAGTGAAATCATCCAGTAATTTTCCTTTTCTTTCTGGAGTATATAACTAAGCATGATCCTTTCCAGTTCCATCCATGTTGCTGCAAAAGGCATGTGTTTATCTTTTTTTGATTGCTGAATAATATTCCATTGTGTATGTGTACCAGTCATCTACTTTTGGACATTTGGATTGATTCCCCCCTCTCTTTCCTATTGTAAATAATGCAGCAGCCGACAAGGACACTGAGAATATATAATGGGGAAAAATAAAAAAATAATAATGGTGCTGAAAAATTATAATAGCCCACACTTAAGAATAAAATAGTACTTTTATTCTACAACTCATACAAAATCAGCTGGAAATTGTAAAGTTTGAAATGTCACACAAGAAGCTACAAGAACTAGTATAAGACAATGTAGGAGAAAATCTTTAGGTGTTTCTCTTGGCAATGACTTTTTGAATATGACACAAAAAACATGGCAAACAAAGGACACATCAGACAGGTGAGGTCAGAGTGAATTAAAATGTTTCTGTACAACAAAGGGAACATTCAAGAGGGTGAAAAAATCAGCTATGGAACTGAACAAATATCTGTGCATTTGTGCACCAGATAAATGGTTAATTAACAAAGGACATAAGAATTCTACAACTTGATGAAAAAAATATATATATGTAACTGACTTTTAAAAGGTATTAAAATGTGGCTTCCCTGGTGGTGCAATGGGTTAAGTCTGAGGCCTATCTGCAGCCACTGCAGCAAGAGTTTGATCCCTACCAGGGAGGTGACCCACATGGAGCAGCAGACCTTTTCTGTCTCGCCCACTGCCCACCTCAGCAGTTTATTTCAGTACATCCATTAACAACACAATACTACATTAAAAATAAGCACCTGGGGCCCCCTGGTGGCACAAAGGTTTAGGTCCCATCTCTACAAAGTTATCCCCAGCCACTGCAGCACACATCCTATTACAGGCCAGGGAGCTGACCCACCTATAGTGTAGCAGCCCACTTCTGTTTGCCTGCTGCTCCCCTCAGCGGTCTATTTCAATAGATCCAACTGTTCTGATCCCCACTCTATTTCTGGTGAATCCTCTCACCACACCTCCCCACCTCCCCCCATACTTCTGGCCTGCTCCCAGTTCTTATATGCATAAATAAATAAAAATTTACAAAAAAATTAAGAGAGCACATTTTATGTTAAAATTAGCATTTCTATTAGATAAGATGTAATGAAAAGTTATTTTGTAGAGTGATTCAAGTTTTTTAAGAATATTTAGAAATATTTTACTTAAATCAAAGTAAACAGCCAGTTAAAAATGGACAGAAGAACTAAAGACTAATCCAAAGAAGAAATGCAAATGGCCAATGAGTATATAAAAATGTTCAACATCACTGATCATCAGGAAAAGAATCAAAATAATGAGATATGACCTCACATATGTGAAAATGGGTCCTATTTTAAACAAAAATAAAACACACAAATACCTAGAAACCACTGACAAAAACAAATGCTGATGAGGATGCAGAGAATAAGGAAACCTCTGTCATGCTGGCAGGAATGCAAATTGGTACAGCCACTATGGACAGCTATGTGGAGGGTTCTCAAAATAGTAAAAATGGATCTAAATTCAGAAGAAATTCTATGTGGTCTACACCTGACAAGGAGGGATAAATATTTAAAAATGAACCAATGATATAAGATATATGTATAAGTAAATTAATTTAAAAAATAAATCTACATGCAATTAGGAGATTCTGCTCCTGGAAATATATCCTAAAGACACAGAACAATTTAAAGGAAAACTTATACACTTAGAATTATCGCTGCACTGTTTACTATAGCTAAAATAAGGAAACAAGCCAAATGCCCCCAAACTAGAGGACTATATCAAGAAGATATGGTACATAAATAATGGAATACTACTCAATGGGAAAAAAAAAGTAAATTTATGTCATTTGTCATTTGTAACAGTATGGAGAGACTAAGGGAGAGGACTAAAGGATTAGGCTAAGCAAAACATGTACAAGGGAAAAAGGAAAATCATTGCATGGTCTCATTCATAGGGGGGGTATAGTAAAACCAAACAAACAGTCAGGTGAAAGACAAGAGACAAGACTTGCAGGTAAACCATAGATATGAGTCATACATCTGAGGAAGCAGAGGGACAGGGGTCCAAACAGGGTGTTATGGTGGATGGGATGGAGACTTATATGGATTACACCTGAGGGGAAAATCAAATGCTGAACAAAAATGTAAAACAATGTAAGACATTTTTAATAATAATAATAATAATAATAAGTATTCAACTTGAATAATTTATCACCATGATCATAAAATCCAAGTGTGGATTTATTTTAGATACTTAATCAGTATAAAACTTACATTAACAGCTTCATCTTCAGTTAGACTTTCATCAATTGTTACATTGGGCAAATCTGGCCAAACCTACAAGTTATAATAAGTGGGAAAACAGTTCAAAATAAATTCAGCATGATATATCTGTATTTCAATAATATAGAGTTGTGAAACCATAATGACTCAGGATTCCTGGATGAGTAATTCCTTTAGTTACATTTTTCAGTTTTTGTTCTGCTATATTTGGTGTATGCATGCATGTATATATGTTTTGTATATGTTTGTATGTATGTGTGTGCACACATACATGTGTACACATATGTATTTACAAACTATTGATATTATGCATAGTAACCCCCTGTTTAAATGTGAATGCAAACCCTTATAGAAATAATGATTTTAAAAACAATAGCAATAAACAAAATATCTGGTCAAGAATTCATTTATTAGATTTATTTAAAGGTGATATATTAAAACTATTTTTAGAATTGCTCCAGGATTTAAAAACTAGATTTCAAAAGACCATAACTTTAGTTAGATGATGTTTTGCTAAGGCAAATAACTGCTTGATTTTCTCAACTAGTACTAAAATAATTTCTCCCTTTTCCCCATCTCTATCTATACCTCTGTACCTACCAGTGGAAACAACAAACATACAAAATGAAACTGACTTATCATGCTGAAATAGCTGAAAATTTGAACCTATTTTATAGAAATAAGGATGTCCCATACAAAAATGTCAATACATTTTCTAATTGCTTAAAAATTTAGTTGTTGAGAGTAAAGTTGAAAAGGAATAAAACAGAGATAGAAATCACAAAAAAATGGAAAGAGAATATAGAAAGAAAAAAGTGTTTTATAGCTAATATGCCATATTCTATACTTTAAAGTTTTCTTAAAACAATACATTTCATGATTTTTTATCATAAGATTTTTCTATTTTAGACTGACCTTTTCTTGAACATAATTTTAGAGTTGCAAAAGCTGTAAAATTGTGTCTATAGTTTTTCTAAATGCCTTACCCTCTTTATGCATGTCTTCTAATGTTGACATAGTTATTACTATTGCAAAATTATCAAAACCAAGAAAATAGTACTGATGGAATGCTTTAACTAATCCATAGGCCATGTTTTTCAGTCCATGATACAAATAGGATACAGCATTGCATTTAATGATTTCTCTCAATATGTTCTGGATATTATTTTTGAATATTATAAGCAAGCAAAATTAGAATATTTTATATATGCAGGTATGGTTATTATTTTGTATATGCAGCAGGTTATTATTGCTTAAATGAAATACAGTGAATTATATTACATGTTTAGTTCAAAATGTCAATATCACACTTAAAATAGTATTTTATTAATGACATAGTTTTAGAAGTGCATTTAAATTATGCTTATAGTATAGAATGCTAAGTAGCCAATAGTGTATTTATATTAAAATACCAGGGGTGTACTTTTATTAAAATTAAAGAGATGTAATAACAATAAAAGAGAATTTAAGATTAAAGTAAACTACTTGAACATATGGCTTGTAAATAATACTTTTGCAGTTTTCATAATTTGGATTGAACTTGGAGAGTGCATATTATTTTATTCAATAGCTTTAAATCATAACATTTCTTTATAGTAATTTTTCTGATTGTTTTAACAGCTTTCAGTTAATGGGAAATTTCAATAAAATAGCATTTTTTACTTATTTTATATGAAGGTATCAACTTAGTACCTTTCCCCAACAAATATCACTGTTAGGCCATTTGACAAAGACATCTTTCTTCATTCCTTCTTCAAATGCAGAATAAGTCTCTGTTTCATTTCCTGAAATTGCTGGATCCTGAAATTAAAAGGAAACCCAAACTTGGTAACTATGGAATAAAAGTATAGTCATATAGGTTGCTTTCAGGAAACATAATTTAAACTATGTTCTCATATGGGTTGACAAATGTATTGGTAATATCAATCAGTGTTCTGGCTAGACTGACCTGTAAATTCCTTCAAGAAAAATTTAAAGAAGATTTAAAAATGTACTAGTTATGATTTAATGCATGATTAGGTTTTCGTTTTGTTTGTTCTTTACCCTGTAGGATTTCTTGCTGTCTAGCTTGCTTCCTATAAAATATGTATTAAATATTTCCTCACAGAGTCACTAATATGAAGTCAACTTTTTTGAAACAATCCCAGAAACTAATTTGAGAATAGTAGAGGAATAAAAAAAAAATTGATCATTACTTTGTGATACTTTTTATAAATTAGGATCATTTTGCAGGTAGGTGGATTATTAGCACACCTTTGACTCCCATTTCTAATCTTAATTCTCTAAGGATATACATAAGTATAATAGTACACTGGTGGAAGCCCATATAAACAAAGTGAATTAATATAAAAAGTTTCAGATTTGAAAGTAGAATTCAAAATTATATACTAACCATTTTAAAATATTTTGTCCCTGTCATTCTAAGAAAGAAAACTCAATAAAATCAAGATAATATGACTCAGGTAAAATATAAAATATGAACACCAACCAGGATAATAATGTATTTCATTCCTTCACTTCTTATTTTCTCAACAAACTGAGGAAGGTCCCGGAAACTTTCACCAATTGTAAAGTCTAGTTGCCTTTCCATGTAATCAATGTCTGTGTATTGGACATCCTGAAAGATGACAATTATACTGAAGTAAGTTTATTGAAGTAAGTAGCAAAATTGAGTGTATCACATTCTATATCACACCTATAAATAAGTCACAAAATGAAAATTTTTATTTATCTCCCTTGGTCTAGAGAGAAATAAATATTGCAATATTCAACTAATAAAAGTGTTAAGTAAAGATGCAAAATATTCCAAGAGGAATTATATAAATTATCCATTTGCAAAAAACTCATTTAGGAATTCAGCTTTAGTAGTAATAATGCTTCAAAATTAGCCTTTTAAAGTCAATTCTGAAAGAAATTAGAATACACAAAAATAAATGATATATGAGGTTTGGAATTATGTCAAATGGCCATTAGGCACATTGAATAGTGTGTATGAACAGTGTTACTCACTTTTTGAAAAGCATAAAGCTGTTATGGGACAATTTCAAATAGTTATCTGACAAATAGGGAAAGGATAGTACTAACATATTGATAATTTATTCTAAGATTCTTTATATATTATCCAAATCAATTATTTCAGAATAACAGCTTAAGCTTAGATGTGCTTAGATGTGCAAACTATTATTTGCAGATAATTATATAAAGATATACTTGAAGAAATAGAAATTTATCTTGAAATCTGAAATTTACCTCTAACAAATTTGTTGTTTTCTGTTAATAGAGGTAAGCTAAAACTATTATTCAAGGATATGTAAACATGTAGCATATATTGTATATAACAATGCAAATCTCCCACATTATAATAATTTTTATTTCCATATCCCTATATCATAAATACATACAATTATGTTTCTTATAATAATGGATTCAGGATCCATATGTTTACAATTATGTTTCTCATAATAATGTATTTAGGATCCTATACATCGGTTCCTATAGTTAGTATAGAATGCATACTAAGCATTCCGAAAACCAACACTTACATATGACCAGAGTATCCCTGAGGCTCATTAGTTATGCTAAAATTAAATTTCAGGGACAGATTTTTTTTCCTGGATGCTCAGGAATATATATATATTTTTAAGATTTATTAATTTGTTTATACAGAACTGGGGTATAGGCCAGAGGTTCAGGGGCCACGAGAGGCTTCACCAGAGACAGAGTGGGGAGCAGAATAGGCAGATCTACGAAGTACACTGCTGAGGGGAGCAGCGGGAGGGTCAGGAGAGGTCTGGAAATCATGTGGTCACCTCCGGGGCTGGTGGGAATCGAACTCAAGGGGAAGTGGCTTTAGCTTCTCAGTGCTATGCTTTAACCCACTGCGCCACCAGGGAGGGCCGCTCAGGAATATTCAATGTCTCATGCATTGAAGACAAATTATTCTGTATTCTAACATTAACATTATCCCAGGACACAAATTAAGGGTTCACTTTAAATCCTTTTTCTCTAATTTGTCACATAGATTCCTATGAACCCTTATTCTGATGAAAATAGATGGGTCTGAATCCCTGTACAACCCAAATTTTATGTACAGTGCCTTTCTTAGTAAAACTCAGGTTCATGGGACTGAAAAGAAAAAAAAAAACTTAAATTATATCCCTTTCCTTCGTTCTATCTGTAAAGACATTTTTCAATAATCTCATATACATGTTATTAGTCCCTATTTAAAAAGTCTAAGTACTGATTAGAACCAAATACTTAATTTTAATGCACATATATTTAACTCTTAAGTTTTGTCACTTTAACATTATCTTAAAAATTGATATACATACATAAGGTATCTGAGCAGCCACCATTTCATCATATAGTTGCTGAATCTCTGAAGTATTTCTGTACCCATAACGACATAATTGGAATCCCAAAGCCCAATATGGTGGCATTACTGGTCGGCCAATTACCTTTAGAAATAAAATAATTATAATTTGTAGAGTAAAGTAATAATGTTATACAAATATTATATTTATAAATGTTATATTTATAAATAATATATATTATAAATAATAATAATAGTGTGGAATCATACTTCATGATATTGTTTTGTTACAACTTCTGGAGTTGGGCCCAGAAACATATAAAAGTCCAGTATTCCTCCAATTGTTCTGTAAGTTAGAGCAGGAGTTGGCTGAAATGTAACATCTGGGGATTCAAAATTTTAATACATGTTTATTTCTGCACAAGAAAATAATTTATAAAAAAAAGTGCCATAAAATATGAGAAATTCAATAATGATTATCTTACCCATAGCATTGCTATTTAGTAGGAAAACTCCATGAGCATGGCTGTCATCTTCCAGGGACATGTAATAGGGATGAAATCCATACGAATTTAATTTATACTAAAATTAAAAAAAAAAACATATATTTGAATAAAAATGGCATCTCAAATTTGCAATGTGATATTTAAATTCATAGGGCTGAATCTGGGAATATAAATGTTCTTCTTTGTACAAATAAAATATACTTGACTTTATATAAACATTTCTCTTAGAAATAAATTTCATTTGTTTGACATGTTATTCCTTTACAATATGCAGATGAATATTCCAGTGTGTAACACAAAAAAATATTGTCACATTAACTTGTGCAAAAAACAAACACAAACTCACATATTGTTATTAGAGTAGCTGTGTTCCTATCTATGAATCATGTGTATTTATTTATAAGGTTGTACTTTTTCAATAATAAAATCTCTAGAAACAATTAAATCTGTATTTGTTAACTGCATATGTTAGTATACATTCTTAAGGATCCAACAGTTTATATATGTAAAGCATTTCATTTCATTTGCAGCTAGATCTTTTTAATTTTCAGAAAACAAAAACAAAAACAAGCTTGTGCTCATGGAATCATTTGTCAAAGGTTAAAAGCTTAGAAGTTCATGGTCCCTAATCATACTGGCATCTTTGATCCACAGTAAGGCCAGTGATTGATTAGTATAGGGAAGACATTTCACATACTGAGAATCAAAGTTGTATTTATTCAATAATGCCATTGCTAACAATGTTGAAAGCTTTTAAAGAAATAGTGTTGGGAAGCCTATTTTTCTAACTGGTTATAAATGCAAATCAGCCTTCAAAAACTGTGTTTTAACTTTTGTAACACAAGTAAAAGTTGTTTGAATACCTAATAAAGAAGATATACTATATATACACAAAATGATACTATTTAGCTATACAAAAATGATTATGTGACAACACGGATGGAACTGGATGGAACTGGTGTTGGGAGCGGATCATGCTGAGTGAAAGAAACCAGACAGAGAAAGGTAAATGCTGGATGGTTTCTTTCAATGTGAAATAGGACAATCAAAACAAAGGGCCAAATGAAACAAACTGGAAACATGTCCTGGAAATCAAATTACATTTGAGGCTAGTAGAGAAGAAGGAAGATAGAAAGCAAAGGAGGGGTGACTATGAATTATGGGATAGTGTTATGGGTGCCTTTGTGATGATTATGTTGTAGTGATGTGAACCTGAAGAGTTGTGAATCTATATCCTAGAACCTATATCATGCTGTAAATCAATGTCACCTTAATTTACATATCATGGTTTCACTAATATACACATTTGTATTACCATATTGAATATAACCTTTAAGTATAATTCTATTGTGAAAAATAGAAATGAGTTAATATTTTCATCAACATAATTTTGTGTTATATTTGCAATAATTACATTTAATATTATTTCATGGACACTGCCCATTAATAAAACAAAACACTGGGGAAAGAGATATAAACACACGAAAACATTTTGTGAAGATATTACTTGTGTATATTACCTTATAAAAAAGTATAACTACATCTGTAGGTTAAAAATAATTAAGAAAGGGCGCCCTCAACTGGTGGTGCAAGGAATTGAAGTGCAGCACTATGAAGCTAGCCACAGCCATGCAGCATGAGTTTGATCCCCAGCCAGTGGGATGATGCACAATGCACAACAGACCTCTCCTGTCACCTTGCTACCCTGAGCAGAGTATTTCATTAATTTGCCTGTTTTGCTCCCCACTCTGTCTCTGGTGAATTTTCTCACCCCATCCCCACATCTCTGGCCTTTACCCCAAATCTTTTATGTATAAATAAATCTTAAAATAATAATAATAATAATAATAAAATATTAAAAAATAATTTCAATGGAAACTCTTAACAGTGAAATTCTAGGAATAGTAATTAAGCATAGGTTCATCAGAAGATACTTTATCTAAATATTGTTTCTAGGTAGGTAAGAAGGTTAAAGTGTTGGCTCACAGTGTCACTTTTCATTGTCAATTATATTATTCATTCACTCCTCTGTTTTCATCTGTGATTTAACATGACATTTTCTTTTCTCAGAAAATCACTCATCCCTTTGTTTAATACTTAATGGTGAAAAACTTGCCTACAAAGAGTAGCTTGGATCTTACTCTTGTTTCTAATTTCCTTATCCATTAGTCAAATATTGGTACCTACACCAGGGGGCTGGTCTCTTGTGAACATGCCCCAAGTATGCCAGTTCAAGTCTTGCTTAAATTCTCTGTGTTCTGCTTCCCCAAATCCATATAAGTAGTGTGAAGGTAGGCGAGTCGATATTTGAATGAACTGGTCATTAAAAGTAAATCCAGGTAAGCGTGAATCCCAACTGAAAAGAAAACAATTTTATTCTTTAAACATATGCAAAATAGTATCATGAATAAGAGTAGTAATACTTTCTTAGGTCATCTAAAAGTCAATATTTTTTCTTCATGGACATTATTGTACCCAAATAACCAAATGAAAACAGATAATCATTATGACATATTTTTCTTTTGCCACAGTATGGAATATGTAAAATAAAATTCAAATATTTTGTATTATTCATAGAGAATCGTATTACAATGAACACAATTATTTCTCTTTAGATATCCATTGCTTTAAAATATAATAATTGTATATAATAGTTTATTTTTACATCATTTAATAATAAATAATTTTATGAAGAAATACAGAAGAAGTATATTCCATGGATTGTATTTTTCTAGTCATTTGCAAGAGCATAAAGAAGAAAAAAATGAATTAAAATATTAATATTAAGAATAATATGGGATATTGGACATTTGCATATTGATAATTTTGGACAACTACTTGCCGGAGCTAGCATTTTCCAAACAATGATAAATAGTGCCTTTGCAACAGTAATTCTTAAGAATTAATTTACCTCCTCATACTTTGGAACAAAATATATTATAGCAACAATATTTTTAAAAGAACACAGACACACTTTCATTGTTATTTATATCCCTCCTGGCAAACCTGAAAATATATCTTCTAAAGGACATAACAGTATGAGAAACAAATTACATAAAAACTTACTAAGATCAAGATGCTATTTACTTGTTTTCTTTATAACTTGCAAGTGTATCTAGATTTAAGTATCTTAATGTCCTTTACAAGAGCTAGCAGAGATAAGTATTATTAACTCTGTCAAATTTCATGGCCAATAAATTCCATTTTCAACATCATTAATAAAATATTTACCGATTATTTACAATTATTTATTTTTGCCAACACCTTATGCTTTTCAAAAGACTATTGGTTGAGTTCTGAACTGATGATAAGAATGAGTCCAAACTTTGAAATTCAAGTAAATGACATCCAAAGTATAAGTGAAATTTTAGTCTAGCCATTCATAATGTCATAGGAGTATTGCTTAACTTATAAAATGTTAAAATAGACTAAGTACCTTTATATAATTAATGGTATTTTTACAGTAATGATAATGTAATAGAGAAGACAATGTGAAAATAATCATCTTATTTTTTCCATTAAAAGCTAAAATCGGCCCTCCCTGGTGGCGCAGCGGGTTAAAGCACTGCACTGAGAATCTAAAGCCGCTTCCGCATGAGTTCGATTTCCACCTGCCTCGGAGGTGACCACATGGCGTGGCAGACCTCTCTTGAACCAGCCGCTGCTCCACTCAGCAGTGCACTTCGTGGATCTGCTGTTACCCTCCCCACTCTGTCTATGGTGAAGCCTCTCGCTGCCCCTGAGCCTCTGGCCTGTACCTCAGTTCTGTATGCACAAATAAGTAATTCTTAAAAAAAAAAAAAAAAACAAAAAAAAAACTAAAATCAAATTTCCCTTCATGTCAAATAATTCAGTCTCTTACATAATTCTTCCTGTGCTTCTCCGTCGAATCTGAATGCCAAAAGGATTTTCCTTGATTTCAACATCATAAAGTCTATTTTCATAAGTACTAGTTGGTTTAGCTGGAATGTTTAATGGCACTGGAACTTCATATCTCTTTTTGTGGGGGTCATAAATCTATTGTAGAAAAATAATAAAAATATATTTGTTCTTATTGATATCATGTAAATATAACTAAAACAGTTATAAAATAATGTTTCAAACAATATTTGAGTTAATAATATAATTGCTAATTAGTATTCATATCTCATTTTGTGTTTTATTATTTTAATGATTGTAATTTACTTTTTGTACAATATGAAATATTGAAAGATAAATCATTTAGAGCTAGCTTTTGTTGTGGTTGTTGTTGATATAAAAAACTATTTAGCATCTCATATGGTTAGACATAGAAGTTAGCCAATAGGGCCTCCCTGATGGCCTTTGAGTTAAGTCTCAGTGCTAACACTGAGTTCACTCACTGGTATGGCCTGAGTTCTATTCCTGACTAGGGAGATGACACACATCGCACAGCAGACCTCTTCTGTCTTGCCTGCTGCTCCCCTTGATAGTGTATTACAGTGGATCCAACTGTTCTGCTCCCCACTCTGTCTCTGGTGATTTCTCTCAGTCCCCCCATCTCTGAGCTACACCCCAGTTATTCTATGCATAAATAAATAAATTAAAATATATATTTTAAAGTTAGACAATATTTTTATCATTTGATATCATAATATATAATGTTAATTTAAGCTTATTCATGTTTCCCTAGCCTATCTACTTCTTTTCTTTAAAATAACTACTATGAATTGTTCTTAATGCATTGTTTTAAATCATTGTTTTCTTTCAAATACATATGTGTTTATTAATGCAAATATATGTATATATATGTATACACATGCATATATATGCATATACATATATATACATATATACATATATATATACCACATGTATAACTTTGTATCTGTAGTTACTTACATAGAAAATTAACATGTAGAGTGAATTAATTCAAGATTATTTTTTTTGGTTATAACACATGATGCCTTTGTGCCACACTGTTTTTGTGAAATTATGGTTAGGTAATTCCTGCTGCAGTTCTAATTATTTTTCTTTTCTTTTAATCATCACTTTTTTTTTAAGCCTAATCAATGTTGTTGCCATATACTTATTTTCCTGGATGGATTTATTGGTAACTTTATAGCTAAAAATTCATCCATTAGATTTTTAACAACTTATATTAAAAAGCTCAATTGCAATAATAATAATAATAAAACAGTAAGGGATTCATATGAAAAGAATGTGGGGGCGATCTAGTAACTTAATAAGAGACAGTTATGTAAATGTGTATGTGTGTGTATATGTGTACGAAAAATTCACCCAGCTATGTATTTCTGATATGTACATTTTACTATTTGTATATTATAGCTCAAAAAGTGAGAAAATAAAATGAATTAACATTAAAATCACATAGGACTCTGTAAGTTTTTTTGAAGACAATACACTTATACATATAAATGTTTATATTTTGATTGTTTGTTTTTGCATCTGCAGTTGCTAATGGTATAAACTAATACTTCAGTCCCTAATGGTAAATAATTTCTAAAAGTAGTTCTTTTTTAATAGGTTAACTTGGAGTTTTTTAGTAAAGAATTATATATATTGGGGCCAAAACATACTGTAACTTTTTGGTAAACCTTATCTCATTGGCCAGGAAATATTAGATAAATTATTAAAAATAATATAAATAATAAACATTTCATTTTAAATTTTCCTGTTTGATTACTCTAGTGAGACTTCTAATAACTCCGAATTGTATAGCACTACTGTATTTTTAATTATTCACAAAATTATCAAAAAAGGGCACTTAGCTATATGTTGTGGGAAAAAAAGGTATAATTTTAATAGAAGTAAATAAAATGTCATCAAACCCATTAACAACACAATACTACATTAAAAATTCAGAACCTGGAGCCTCTCTGGTGGCACAAGGGGTTAAGTCTCATCACTATGAAATTATCCCCAGCCACTGCAACCCAAATTCTATTACAGGCCAAGGAGCTGACCCATCTATAGAGAAGCAGCCCACTTCCATCTTGCCTGCTGTTCCCCTCAGCAGTGTATTTCAATACATTCAACTGTTCGGATCCCCACTCTGTCTCTCTTGAGTCCTCTTACCCACTGTACCTCTGGCTTGTACCTTAATTCTTGTATGAATAAGTAAATAAATCTTTTTAAAAATTCAGCAACTAATATATTAAAAATATCTTGAAAGATGTTGAGTCACACATTAGAATTTATATTAAACATACCTTAAACTGCAGCATATCATTTTTGTGATATTTCACTTCCACACGAAGAAATGAAATGGGTACAGAAGGTTGCTTTTTTTGAGCATTTCTAGTATTCAACTGAAGGTCAGCTGTTATACCCACTGGTGAGTAATGGGTTGAATTGACTAAGTAAGAGCTGACTTGAAAAGGAAAGTAACATGAAGGTGCTCCGGAGTTAGAAGATATCTGAAAGCACAATACATATTCATTACCAGACATTGTAGGGAAATCAATATTTGAATTATTGAAAAATTTTAAGGTATATTTAACCATATTTTGTAAAATTCCCAGTTTTATGGTGTAATGTTAAAATTAAAGTATCACAACATAAAATATCCAGTATGCTACCCAAGACATCAGGTACTAAAAAATGATACAGTATATTTATGCTGACACTAAATATAGAGCAGTAAAGCAGAAAAATAAAATGTCATGAATTTTAGAAAATACTGAATTGTCATTGTTTTACGGCATTCTAAGTGTACTGACAAAGCAGGATTTCCCCCCTTTCATATAGTCACTGTGGTATTCCCACCACTAAAACACCCACACTCATAGCCTGTTCTTTCCAAAAGCCCTTTATGCTCTCCTCACCCACACCTGAAAGCCACAGATGTATGCCCACCTTTTAAAATTTGATTTAAAAATTTGTCATTCATTATCTGACTCAGGATTTTCTATATTCTGCATATAAGTGACATCATCAGTATTTATCTTTCTTCTGTCTTATTTTGTCACAATCTATTCAGGCTAACTAAAAAAAAATAGAATAACTTTTTTTTTTGTCTTTGTAAAAATTCAGGATATTACTCATAAATTTTGATCTTATGATTGGTTGTATCCTTATATTGACAATTGTCAATAGTCAATTTGAGTATAAATTGATTGTATATCACTCTTCAGAAGGACTATGCTTAACATTTTTTTTATTATTTTAACTTATAATGATAGTGTATTATGATGGTATTTCATGACTAGTTCTCATCTCATTCAGTATACTGACCAGAATTTAAAATAAGAACTGTGTGCAAAGCATCAGAACTGACTAGTTTAGTAGGAGTGGACTTTTAAATATAAGAAACAAAAGACATATTTTGGCATTCAGGACTAGTTACCATTTCAAAATCCATAATGTAGTTTTTATTTTATCAAATAATTGTATTTTTGATCCTGAGTAGTATGTTTATCTACATCTCTCAATCTCTAGTATCATTTGTGAATTGACTCTCTTTTAAGAAAAATATTCTTTTTTTATTACAAAAGTTTATTTTTACATCATTTTGTACATTTTTTTTCCATCTCAATTGTAATCCCCGCGGGTTTCCCATCACCAAGTCACCCATGTGCCATCACCAAAATCCCGTGCATTTCCCTCCCCCGACCCCGTTTTTGATCCCATTCTCCACTCCCACAAAATTTCTCTGGTATATGGTTGTTCATTATTTTTGTTATTTTCTCGCCTGGTCCATTATACTCCTGCTATGAGTGAAACCATCCGGTATTTTTCTTTCTCTTTCTGGCTTATCTCACTAAGCATGATCTAAGAAAGCTATTCTTTTAAGAAAGAAAATATATAAGTTGATTGAGTTAGGATTTATTTTCCCTTTCAACATTCTATGGAAGGATATATAGATCCTTCATCATTACATTAATAGATTTCTGGGCCCTCCCTAGTGGCCCAGCAGGTTAAAGCACAGCACTGAAAGGCTAAAGCCACTTCGCATGAATTCAATTCCCGCCTGCCCCAGAGGTGACCACATGGGTGGCACACCTCTCCTGGCCCACCCACTGCTCCCCTCAGCAGTGTACTTCATTGATTTTCCTGTTCTGCTCCCCACTCTGTCTCTGATGAATATTCTCACCTCCCCCAATCCCATACCTTTGGCCTATACCCCATTTCTTGTATATACATTTCATGCATGTATTTTGTATGTATGCGTGTATGCATGTACGTGTTATCGTTCTGTTTTAAAGATGACCAATAACTAGTCACAGATTATTACATCTTAGTGGAAGAAGCAAACTCATCAATTGATTTTGGAATTTAATAACTTGAGCCAATACAAAAAATAAAATGGAGGCAAACATTTCACAATATATGCTTAAAAAACATATTTGTGGGACCATTCCTGGTAGTGCAACAAGTTAAAGCACAACACTATGGAGCTATTACAGCCACTGAAGCACAAATTTGATCCCTGGCCAGTGAGGTGATCCACATGGCATGGTAGATCTCTCCTGACCCTCCTGCTGCTCCCCTTAAACGTGTTTTCCAATTCTGCCTCTGGTGAAGTCTTTTACCCTCTGCATCACTGGCCTGTGCCCCAATTCTGTATACATAAATAAATAAATTTTTAAAAAACATATTTGTGGATTAGTATCCAATAGCATGGATAACACAAACAAACTGGACTACATAAGACTAAATATATCTACAGAGTGAAAGAAACTATTACCAAATCTAAAATACATCATACTGAGTGTGAACATATATATGTCCACCATACATTCAACAATAGGATGATATCAAAGATTTACAAATGACTTACACTTCTCAACAACAACAATGAAACACATAAACCAATCACCCTCTGCTAGACACTAGACAGTTCTCCACAATAGACATAAAATAGCCAAAGATACGTGAAAAAATATCCATGATTATCATCAAAGAAATGAAAATCAATGTGTTTGTGTGTGTATATACACAAATACATGTGTTTATATATATATATATACACATGTATACACATCAATCTGTTTATCAGTTTATCAAAACAGATAAACTGTTGCCACTGGAGGCAAAGTGAATAGAGCTGGAAGTCAGTGAAATAATAAAAAGACAAATACTGATGAGATGGTATCACTTATATTTGGTATATGTAAAACAAAACAAAATGTCAGATAAAGCCAAACTAAAGAGTAACCCTTGAAAACTGACAGTGGAATGGGACCTATTAGACAGGAAAGGGAGGGAGAACAAAGACGAGAGGGGCCTCAAGCATCTATCATTGTGGATTGTGGTTTCTTTGGTGGTGGGTGTACTATGAAGAGAGGAATCCTACACCCCTATCCTTCTCTAATGTAAACAATGAGCAAACTGATATCAAACTAATAAAACAAACAAACAAAAAGGGCTACCCCTAATGTGATCATATTTTGGTTAATTAAACTAGTCAGATATAGTGAACGACTTTTAGAATGCAACATGTAGCCTACTATTACGTTAAGAGTAATACAATTTCCAAAGTGGAAATTGCCTGTAAAGCAACTTACGCTAATATTTATTAAGGTTATTCTCTCTGGAGAATTAACTAAGATATATATAAAATGTCTACCAAAGGCTCTAATTTATAAACCCTGAAGTTCCTCTATATAAACATTATACACAAACACATGCACACACACATATTGTATATACTGTTATATACATATATACTGTAGAATTAAATTTTAATATATAAATTTTATTTTGATATGTTTATATAAAATGATATTATGAGTGATAATTAAAACACTCATTACCTCTTCCCATATACAACCACGTTCTTCACACTTTTCTTTATTTGCAGTGTCTTCTTCTAGATAACAATTAAACTTTTCATTTTCACTTAGAACTTGATTCCATTGAATAGTAAAGTTCTTTCCAAGGTGAAGCTTGAGGTTGTAAATTATGAGACTCTGATGATAAAAATGAAAACATTAAATAATTTCTGACCATTAGGCAATTTAATATTTTTCATGTACATAACATAGAGCAACCACAACACTTATTTAAATAAAGTAATACTTTTTATACAAGAATAAACAAAGGCCTCCCTGGTAGTGCAGGGGTTAAACTCAGTGCTCTCAAGCTACAGCCATTGCCATGTGAGTTATATCCCAGCCAGGGTGCTGACCCACATAGCACAGCAGACCTCTTTTCTCAATCTCTGCTACCCTCAGCATTGTATTTCAGTAGGTCCAACTTTTCTGTTCCCCACTCTGTCTCTGATGAATATTCTCACCTCCCCCAATCCCATACCTTTGGCCTATACCCCATTTCTTGTATATACATTTCATGCATGTATTTTGTATGTATGCGTGTATGCATGTACGTACGTACGTATGTATGTACGAGTGTGTGTGTGTGTGTGCACACACATACAAGTTAACATTTATCCCACTGAAATGATTAGAGACTGAAGACAGGAAAACCATGTGAAGTTGTGGAATGGAGACATAAAACATTCTATTTAAATGGAGAGACTTGGGTTCAATTCTCAGTTCTGTTACTTAATATTCATGAGTGTTTGGGAAAATTCTTTCCTATATTATTTTTATTTACCTGCATTGTAAAATGGGGAAAATAACCACTAACATGATGGTACACAGAATGTATAATATATGAAATTTAAAGCATCTATCATAATACTGGGACATCCATGTAATAAATGTTAATTCTCCCAAGATGAAAAATTTCACCATTTCCATTGATATTCTGGCCCTCAGAGTCAGAAGGGAATATTTATTTCTTTTATTCTTCCCCAAGTTTATTGATTTCTCACGTTACTTGAGCAGATTACAGAGGAGATAATATAGTATTATGCAAAAAAACATTTTTTATATATAGATGGAGATATGGATATATAATCTGATATGCAATTATTTTTATTGTGATATTACATACTTATGCTATTGTTTATATAGATCAGGAATAAGATAAGATTTATCACATAGTTTTATCTGTATAGCTTACTTCTTGATATCAACTTAATTTAATAATCTACAGTCAATAAAAGTCATCATATATATATATCAGCATTAGTACAGCAACATTTCTAGTGTCTTTATAAACTTTTACATAGCAAAAAATATACGCAGATATAAATTGAAATGATATGATTTTTATTTTATGCCTTTTGATAAGTTAAACTCTTAAACATTTGATGTTATCATTGATTAATTCTTATAGTTTCAGGAATAAGCTATAGTGCATGTGCTAAATTAGTAAAATTAGCCAGTACATATTCATTTTTAAACTGGAAGAAATCTGGATAAGAGAGCTAGTGTATATACAGAAAATACTCTAAGAAATTCTTTTATAGCTCAACTAATTTAGAATCCATTATACTAATATTACTAAAGAATTAGTACTATATGCAGGATGGAAAATTAAATACCAATAAATAACCATTTCTATGTTTTTAGTTGTTATAATGTAATATTTTAAAGTTTAATATATTATCAAAAGCTACATCATGATGATGGGTATTACATTTTACAGAGGGGTGACAAGCTAATTTAACAATTTAATTTAATTATTTAGATTAATTTTAAATTGTGAAGAGCAAGTCTGATCATATGAGTTCTTTTCCTTCTTTACCTATTTCTTAGAAGAAATTTAAAAAATAATAAAACAAAAGAGGTTTTTACTTTTTTGGGTTAAAATTACTGATGGAAACTAGTATAAAATGTATTCTGGGACCTTCCAGGTGGCGCAGCAGATTAAAGCACAGCACTAAGAAGATAAAGCCATTTCAGCATGAGTTCAATCCCCAGCCCAGAGGTGATCCACAAGGCATGGTAGACCTATCCTGACCTGCCCACTGCTCCCCTGAGCTATGTTATTGTTAGTCTGCCTGTACAGATCCTCACTCTGTCTCTGGTGAATTTTTACACCGCCTCTGCACTTCTGACCTGTACTCCAGTTCTGTATGTCTGTATGCATAAATTATGTGTGTGTGCACAATATACACACATGTATATGCATGTGTGTGTATGCATGTGTACATATATGAAAGAAGAGAGAATGGTTAAAGAAATAAAGTAAATCATTATCCTAAGGAGCAGTACACTAGAGGTTAAAACATTTAGAATAACCATTGTAATCTACAGGATACAATGTAAGTTAAAGTTCAGGTTAACAGAATGTATACGTAATTAAAGCATATATAAATGATCCAGAATATGAAATAAGTATAAGAGATTGATACAATCAATAATGTGCTATTAGCAGCAAAAGGGAATTAAATAAAACCTATCTATGCCATTGAAGAATTATTATAAAGCTGAGACCCTGGGTAGTAATGCAATATTAAATGTTCTAGACTATGATAGTTACATATCTTAAAGTATCAAATACCTGGTTGGAAGGATGGTAAGTGAAACTGTGGTTATTGCTCTGCTGACCATTTTCCATCACTGTAATTTGTGTAACAGATTTTGTCAATCCAAGGATTTTTATAGTCTCAAATGCTAAGTGTGTTCCTTCTTCATATGATGAATGAATGCATGTAATATCTAATTTGTCCTGGGGAAAAAAGTATATAATACATATTAAACAGAAGTTCATTGGATACAAAACTGAAATAACAATACAGGTGTGACACAGAAAAAGAACGACTCATTTAAACATTCCTATCAACTCCAGCAATCTACATCCAATTGTAATTTATACCTATATATAAGATGTGTATATATGTATTATAAATAGCTTTTCTTATTTTAGATTCATGCCATAAATTTATTTTCATATACAGCCTAGACATTCATGAAACTATGTGTATATGCAGATTCTTTCTCATTTTACATCAAAAGTTGATGATTAATGAATTAATCTTGACAAAAATGGAACATCTACAAATATAATTGATATTACTTATTTCAAATTCAACCTTGTACAAAGTTTAATCAATCCCCCCTCTATCACCATTCCAATCATTTTTGTGTATAAAACACTAAATCTTTTTCAGATATATTGAGCTTATTTTCCTAGGGCATGCTACTTAATCCAAATGTAATTCATTAAGAAGTCTGAAGATTTAATTCCATCATCACAAGCTCATCTACTACATTTAAATATAAAACCTTAAGGCAACTTTATAACTCAACAATTTAATTTTAGCAATTTATTTCATTTCTTGCCACTGAAATTTTAAGGCAAATTAAAATAAATCTCTCCAAAAGAAAATCTATGATTAAGGAATATCCCAGACATTCTCAAGTTACATATTTAATTATATATCTAAAGAGAGTGCTTACACTGGATGCTGAAAATCTGTACATGATGTAGTTGCCCTTTTCTATGGTATCTGAAATGAAAAAAATAAATCATCAGATCAAAAATCAATATTAAATTTTCTTTTATTTTACAGATATATAACAATTTATAAAAGTTACATATCACATATTAATGAAGCAAATTAAAATGATCATTCTTTTATTTCTTAATTTTCTATTTATCATATTTATTTCATAAATCATTGCTAAGTAATGTACATTATCTGACTTCTGCACCCGCAGTGTAGACCCCATAGTTCTGTCAAAATAACACCCATGACCCATCGCCACAGTCCCTTTTGCATTTCCCTTTCTTGTTTTGACACCTCTCCTTCCCGTCTTCTGTTGTATGCAATAGATTTATGGTCAGCTTGTACGTTTTGTCTTTATTTTAAAATAATATATTCTACTACATCTAAACAAAATATATTTTATTTTCTATTAAAGATAATGACTGCATACTTTCCAACTGTAATTTTTCAAAGATTGTTAAATGATTTCAAGAAATTCAAAGAAAATAGAAGTTCTAGCTATGTAGGTAGATAAAATAGAAAGAAAGCTAGGTGATGTTAGATATAGGGCATATCTGTGTGTGTGTCTGTCTATACATCATATAGATATAGGATAGATGATTGATAGATAAAGATTAGACATGTCAACTAAATCACATATATGATATACTTGTGATTGAAACCATCATTTTAGTGATGGTTTATTTTCCATCTTGTAAGACATGCAATAATTGGTTTATTTTGGGAAGACATAGACATAGTACAAAACAATTTTGTTTTGCATCTTTTATTTTTTCCAAGTTTTATTAATTTGCCAGTGATGAACACAACTGCATACTTCTGGGTGTACAATTTCAAACCTCCATATGTGTAGTGCCACATCCACACTCTACCGACACTCCAGGATAACCCTATCATCTTCCCTACTATCACTTCTGACTTCACTCCAGACCCTCTGGTGACCAGTATATTTTTCAGAGCCTAAAATTATTCTTGTTTTGCCAGTATGTTTTCTTTGATTAATTGTCTGTATCCACAAGAAGTGATACCATGCTGTCTTTCACTTTCTAATGTATTTCACTTAGTATATTCATTTAATGATTTTTTTTTTTCTTTTCTTCAAAGTATAATTTCATCTTTTCAAATAGCTGAGAATGGGGCTTCCCTAGAGGGTAAGGTAATAAATCTCAGCACTGTGAAGCTATCCAAGCCACTGCAGCATGAGTTTGATTTCCAGGCAGGGAGCTGACCTACATGGTACAGCAGACCCCTACTGTCTTGCCCGCTGTTTCCCTCTGTAGTGTATTTTAGTCAATCTGCCTGTTCTGCTCCCAGCTCCATGTCTGGTGAATCCTTTCACACGCTGCATCACTGTCCTATACCCAAGTTTTTCTATGCACAAATAAATAAATATTAAAAAGATAGCTGAGAAACATTCCATGAATATATATTCCAACATGCATATGTGTACATATTTGTGTGTGTGTGGTCTGTGTATGTATCCATACATCTGTTTACAAGCATTCAGGTTGCTTCCATGACTTGTTTATTGTGAGCAATGCTGCTCCTAATATAAGAACATATTTTCATATTAATGTTTTCATATTTTGGGTAAATACCTAAAGTGATATTGCTGGTCATATATACTTTTTTTTTTCTGAGGTATCTCCATATCATTTCCAAAGGGAGGACCAAGTTACATTCCCAAGAACAGTTGATAAGTGTTCCTTTTCCTCCAAATCCTTGCTAATATTGATGTTGTTTCCAGCTGTTTGTATTTAAGCTACTCTCACCGGAGTTAGATGATAACCAGAGACAGAATGGGGGTAAAAACAGACTGATCCGATGAAGTGTACTGCTGAGGAAAGCAGTGGGCACATCAGAAAAAGGTCTGCCTCACCAGGTGGGTCAACTTAGGGGCTGGATAGAACTTTCATTGAAGAGGCTGCCGCTAGCTTGTAGTTCTGCGTTCTTACCCATTGTGCCACCAGGATGAGCCCTCAAGTCAATTTTTTTTTTAAAAATTTATTTATTTATTCATACAGAACTGGGGTACAGTCCAGAGATGCAGAGGGTGAGAGAATTCACCAGAGACAAAGTGGGGAACAGAACAGGCAGATTGACGAAGTACACTGCTGAGGGGAGCAGCGGGCGGGTCAGGAGAGGTCTGCCACGCCATGTGGTCACCTCCGGAGCAGGTGGGGATTGAACTCATGCGGAAGTGGCTTTAGCTTCTCTGTGCAGTGCTTTAACCCGCTGTGCCACCAGGGAGGGCCCTCAAGTCAATTTTTTAAACAAGGTTTTCCTTTTGCCATTATGTGGTCATGAATCCTTTGTTAAAAAATAAATTCCTGGGCCCTCAAGTCAATTTTTTAAAAAAGGTTTTCCTTTTGCCATTATGTGGTCATGAATCCTTTGTTAAAAAATAAATTCCCGGGCCCTCCCTGGTGGCGCAGCGGGTTAAAGCACAGCACTGAGAAGCTAAAGCCATTTCCGCATGAGTTCGATCCCCGCCTGCCCCGGAGGTGACCACATGGCGCGGCAGACCTCTCCTGACCCGCCCGCTGCTCCCCTCAGCAGTGTACTTCATCAATCTGCCTGTTCTGCTCCCCACTTTGTCTCTGGTGAATTCTCTCACCCTTTGCATCTCTGGCCTGTACCCCAGTTCTGTATGAATAAATAAATAAATCTTTAAAAAAGTAAAATAAATAAATTCCCTTTTTTTATGGATTATAATTCAGGACTCTATTCTATTCCATTGGTCAGTGTTTCTTACATTTTCTCTGGTACAATACTGCTTGAATTACTATCATTCTGTGACAGAGTTTGATTCACTGAAGTCAGTGATTGTGATACCTCCGATTTTCTTCATTTCTTCAGGAAAATGTAGTAATTGGGATATTTTATGCTTACATACAAATTTTTCAATTATTTGTTCTATTTTCTTAAAGAAGGTTTTTAAGACTTTTGATAGGTATAATACTGAATCTGCAGTTGCTTTAGGTAAATTGGCCATTTTAATGAGTTTTATCATTCGATCCATCAAAAAAGGATATCTTTCCATTTGTGTGTGTGTGTCTTCTTTGATTTATATATATTGTGTCTAAAGAGTTCAGCTTATAATTCTTTCACATCCTTTGTTAATTTATACCTGGCTATTTTGTTTCTTGTGTTATTAAGTGGTATTTTTTCTTCATATCTCATTTTATTTCCTAATTCATTGCATGTAAAATCAACAGTTTTTTTTGTGTACTGATTTTTTATCCTCCCATTTTTCTTTCTTTATTATTTCAAGTAACAGTCTTCCAGATTTTCTATCTGTGTTATCATGTCATATGTGGATAGTGACAGTTTCAATTTTTTTCCAAATTGGATACCGTTTTTTTGGTCTTCTTGTTTGATTTCTCTGGCTAATAATTACAATCATGCTGAATAGTAGGAATGACAGTGGGCATCCATGCTGTGTTATTTATCTTAGGTGAACGGCTTTCAGTTTTTCACTGTTGAGTCTGGTTGTGAATCTGTCATATATAAACTTAATTATATTGAGACCAACTCATTTCCATTTTATTGAGAAATTTTATAATAAGTGATGTTAAATTTTGTCAAATGATTTTTACTATGTATTGATAAAGTTGTGCTTATATCTTTCTTTTTATTAATATTGTGAATGATATTAGTTGATTTGAATATGTTAAACCATCATTGCATTCTCTGTAATGAAACCCACTTAATTGGTGAATGATTCTTAACATTGCTGCATTTTAGTTAGCCAAACTTTTGTTGAATATACCTCATACAAATTCATTATAGATGTCAACCTCTTTTTCTCCCTCTGTGTGTGTACTATTTTTTATTATTTGGGGAAGGAATCTAAACGTTTGCACTTTTGAATAACATGCATTGTTGTAAATCAATACTACTTCATGAAATACAATTAAGAAGACATTAACATATATTTGATGGTAAAATGCATGAAAACAATGATTTTCTGTACCATATGCATAATAAGATAAATCATCAATGTTTCCTTTATAGGGAAGCTGCAGGTCAAGACCAAAACTGGTTTAGAGAAAATGTATAAGACTATAAAGGAACACCCAGAATTTTTATGCAACATTTCCACTAGTGTTGATTTTCTTAGCATTTTAATCCTAGCATTTAAATAAAATTATAATCAGAACTTGAATCGAAGGTCATTATATTGTCTGCATTGCTTAACTACAAATTCACTGCCTGGGGAATTTTAATATTAACTTTATTAAACCAAATCTATAAATAGCACAGTATGACTTATTTAAAAATGTTGCCTTCTTATATAACCATCTTCATAGAAAAATTAAATTATCATTTTTATAATTGAAATGAACAGACATACATTGTAATGTCTTTGCAGTGAGAAATAAGACAATACTTCAAATAATTTCCCACATGCCACTAATAGAGATATCTCAACAAAATTATTTAATTGGTGATTGACAATAATTTAGTTCTACTGTTCATGAACTTCTGTGTATGTACTAAATGTTTGAAACATTCTTATGGGAGATCTCACTTAAATGTAATTATGCTCTGGGTATTTAAGAGATCAAGAAAGATGTATTGGTTTTCAGTAAGGAAAGGTAGTTAGTAAAGGAAAGTTGTGGGTGCACACATGTGCATGTATATAAACATGTATAATGCACATGTGCGTAAGCACAAGCATACACATAAAGCATGGTGAGAGTTCTACGTATTGATAAAGAGTGACTCCAAGTTACATAAAATGGAGGTTTAGAACAACAATCTGATATTTGGATTCATCTTTAAAAAAAAAGTAGTCTACCTGTGTATAATGAAATAAAATGTGAAAGGGAATTAACAAGTTTATAGAGTCATAAACCAGTTTTTTTTTAAATGAAAAATAGTGATGAATAGGTTAAGGTAACCTACATCAAGAAAAAATCTGTAGGAACTACTAAGTTTATGTTATCCTGTAGAAATGAAATTACCATCAATTCAGAAGAGGGAAATTATAAATGGAGATATACTATGGTAATCTATATCTTTGTAGATAAAAAAATTATATACTCCATAATTTAAAATTATAAGAGCATACTAGTGTGTGTGTGTATGCTAATAGTCATGTACTATTTTTATTATTTGGGGTGGAAATCTAAAAGTTTGCACCTCTGCATGCAATATGCTATTAGCATATATATATATATATATACACACACACTCACACACACACAAACACACTAATATATTGTATCCCTATATAGATGATATATGTGTGTGTAATAAATATAGTTATATAGAGGATGTGTGTGTGGGTGAATGGGTTTGTATTACTGTTAAAGCTAAGGTAGATGAAGTTAGAAACATATATTTTAAGGCAAGGATATTCACCTGAGAAATAGTTAGCTAAAATGGAGGCTAACTTTTATAATTTGTATGCAATATCTAAGTCAAATGTGAAAAATATATTAAAATAAATAGGATTAAATCTTAATCAATATAGTATATGAGAATAGGCAGTTAAATATAAATGAATTAATCTAAACAGATATATTGGCTATTATATAATCAAAATTATAGAAAAGGCATATTTGTATTATTGTCACTGCACTGAATTTACACCATTGGGACAATAAATTAAATTAAAGCCATGATAAAATGGAGATATTTTTGAAACATTTACATTTCACCAACATAACTGAACAATTGTATTTTAATTAACTTAAATTTTTGTGCAAAAACTTATTTTAAATATTTAAAGTAGACAAAAATATGATGTAATATCTACATCTATCAATTCACTAAATATTTAATTGAATACTAACCTCATAAATATGCTTATACTTGTCAAAGAATATTTTAATTAAACCCATGGGGGGAAATAATTAAAACAATGCTAACTTTTGTTCGATAATAAAACTCACTAAGATGGATCAAAATAGAATTTAAAAATTAAAATGTGACTTTTTGATGGATGTAACATATCAATAAAGACAAAATTTCTATCACCAATGAAAATTTTAATAGCTTATTTCAAGACATACCTTTACTTTCTCCATCATCCCAGAAAAAGTCTCCTTGTGCTTCATTTGTTTCATTTAATGCAACTATAAGTCCTAGAGCGTTCTTCCGGCTGTAAAGTTTGAGTAAATAAATGACAATAAATTATTTTGAAATAGTCTATAAATAAGTCTAACCATTTTGTAGAGTTCTGCATTCAAATGTGACTATTGCTATTAGCAAAATCCATGTATATTACTATTCTGATTCAATGGGAAATATGTAATTAGAAAATAACTGATAGAACCAAAAATACATCACTGAAATTCCTGGCAATTAAGTCACCAGCAAAATTAAAACTAGCATAATATTTCAATAAAAAAAAAATGAATATCTAGGCCCTCCCTGGTGGGGCAGGGGGTTAAAGCACAACACTAAGAAGCTTAAGCCACTTCCGCATGAGTTCAATCCCCTTCTGCCCCGTGACCACATGGTGTGGCAGACCTCTCCTGACCGCAGCTGTTCCCCTCAGAAGTGTACTTCGACAATCTGCCTGTTCTGTTTCCCACTGTGCCTCTGGTGAATCTTCTCACTGCCCCTGCACCTCTGGCCTGTACCCCAGTTCTGTATGCACAAATAAATCTTAAAAGAAAAAAAAAAGTCAGAGAATGCCATACATTTTGTCACAGGAGATAATTTCTAATCTAATTAATTATGTCTTTTTTTTTTTTTTGCCACACCCCACCCCCTTTCATTAAGTGAAGTGGGGATACTGCACCTTTCCTTATTATGGAGATGCATCTGTCACACAACCACTATCCTCTTCTCTGTTTCTTAAGCAGGTTTCCAAACAGCCCAAAATGCTCTCTAACTTTACATTTCAATGCTTGACTCCTACTTATTTTGCACTGCTCAGCCCAGATCACATTTCTCCAGACTGGCTCTGTCTGACAAGTCTATCTAAATTACGTCCTGTTACCTTGGCTTCAATCACCCTATTTATTCCTGTAATTATATTATTTTTTAAAGATTCATTTATTTATGCATGCAGAACTGTGGATGGGTTAGGAGAGGGCTGCTCTACCATGTGGGTCACCTTCCTGGCCTGGGATGAACTCCTGCTGCAGTGGCTGCAGATAGCTTCATTCATATTGCTGTGCTTTAACAAACCTTTGAGCTATGAGGGAGGTCCCCTAACTATATTATTCTATTCTGCAATTATCTCATTTATTGTCTTTACATCTCTCCTTCCTACAATGAAGATTCATTATGTTTTTATTAAGATTTTATTTATTGAACTACCATTATTTTATATCCTTTGTTCCTTTTTCACAGTTACAGATTTTTACACCCGTAGATGTGGTTATCATAGATTTCTATAATTCACCACAGACAGAAGGAGGAAGGGAAGTAGAGAAGGTTGTGAGCACAACAGACTGTATTCTCCTTTACATAACCAAATATTTAGTAGTATACAAAATAATTGGGTATTTTTCTTTTTAAAATCAAAAGGCTTATAGTTAATAATTCCTCATCTGTCAAATATCTGGTGAAAAAACTGAACAAAAATCTTTGATTCTTACTTTTTAATTTTTAACTGAAGTATTTTTTTTTAAAGATTTATTTTTTCATACAGAACTGGGGTACAGGCCAGAGACGCGGAGGGTGAGAGGATTCACCAGAGACAGAAAGGGAAGCAGAACAGGCAGACCAAAGAAATACACTGCTGAAGGAAGCAGCGGGCTGGTCAGGAGAGGTCTGCCAAGCCATGTGGTCACCTCTGGGACAGGCGGGGATGGAACGCATGCAGAAGTGGCTTAAGCTTCTTAGTGCTGTGCTTTAGCCCACTGCACCACCAGGGAGGGCCTGAAGTATTTTTTTTTTTTTATGCAGCTTTGGGAATACATCAGTATAAAATAATATTTGTATTTATTAATTGCTTATCACTAAATATCTAGTTCCAACAATGAATATTAAAATAAACCATATATCATATTTCAGGTAGTGGTTTTTAATTTTACCTTGCAGTTGTAGTTACACTAGGTTCTTGAATGGGGAGAATATAACCTCCTCGAATATGTAATCCTATTTTGTCTGCTGGAAGGTACATATTAACACGTTGTTTTCTCCATGGCCTTTTTGAACCCTAATATTTGGAAATTAATTTATTATTAGTAGTAGTGAAGATGTTATACCCATTTCACAGGAAATACAATTTGCACATATATTCATTTAATAAATTTAATATATTGTTTTCTAACTTCAAACAACCCTCACATATATGTGAAATAATCTGGTAATTGTCTTTTGTTTCACTTAGCATAATCTTCTCCAGGTTTATCCATTTTGTCACAGATGGTGAGAGTTCATTTTTTTTTCATAGCTAAATATTAGTCTATTGTGTATACGTATATATATATATATATATATATATATATATACATATATATATCCCACATCTCTGTATAGCACTCATATGTGGAATACAGAGAAACAAAAACAAAGAAAGATATACAACTAAAACCAAAATAACCCTTAGAAAACTATATATTTGAAGCAATTGGGGGGAGAACATGGGGTGTGGAAAAGATGTATTGGGGGCCTAATGGTCTATAGTAAGAGATTATCAGAGCTTTGGTAGTGGGGTGATGTGGTAACATACCTCTGAAGAGGTGTTAAACTAAAGATCCAAAGTAAATACAAGCTGTAAATCAACATATCTCAATTAAAAAAAAAAAGTAAATAAATCAGCTCAAGAAACTACCCAAATTAGTATAGTTCAAATATGGGATAAAATGCTATGCAACTTTTAAAATGAACACAGCACTTTCTTTTTAAACTCATATTAAATTCCTATCAGTATATATTGTTACAAAAAAGAGAGTCCAGTTACAAAAAAAAATAAACAAAGAAACATAATTTATGTTCATTTCATAGAAAACATGAGAAAAATAAGATCATCCTTAAAAAAAAAACTGAACATAGAGAAATCCATTTTACTTCTACAAAATATTAACTATTAGAAATTAGTAATTTTTCTCCATTCTTCACTCAGTTTATAGTTAACTCATTCTAGGGGTTGTTGTTTTCAAATATATTTCTATAAAAATTATTTTTTATTTTTATTAATTTGTAAATTTTATGTTATTTTGTTTAGTAAATATAAAAAATAGCAAAATGATGTCTTAAAAAAGAATATATCTCAAAATATCTCAATAAATTAAAAATGTTGTCTGTGTGTGAATTCTAAATTGTCTTTTCAAGATTTAATGTATAGTACATTCCAAATATTTAAATGCACCTGATAGGAACAAATGTTTAAGATTAGTTTAAAACTTATGTCTTCTTGCAGTAAATATCTGGGATAGCAGCAAATTAAAAGTAGTCACTTTCCTAAAATTCTTCCAATATTTATATCCACAATTTACATGTAATATAACTATAATAAATATAAATTCCATTTTAGTCATGTGCAACAAAATGTATACTTGCACAAACTTTTACATATCTCTGAAATTTGAAAATATTTTTTCATTTTAAAATTTTAAATATATGCTGTGCATTTGGAGTTAAACTTCATTTACATTTTCACATATTTTATATTAATATTAATATTTATAGTAATATTAATATTACTTACAGTTTCATAATCATACCAAGTAGCATCAGGGATGTATGCACTCACTGTATCTTTTCCCTAAAATAATGCAAGTTAATTATAAGTTATATACACATATAAATGTTTGCATATTTTATTTCAATACTTTATAAAATAGAATCACATCAACCTAAAATTAACTTTTCATATTCAAGAGACTAAAAATTTCTTTGTATTTTCATACTTTGATATTTTCTTTAACTAAGATACAAAAATAAATTTTTATAGTTTTAGCAATTACCATGATATAAAACTGATCAAAACAAAAATTAACTTAAGTGATAACTAAAATAATGCATAGATGCACTTGCATTGTCATAATTTACATTGCACTTGTGAGTATGAACGCATTTATGTCGATTTCTATGGACATATAGACTTTAGTAGATAAAGAAAAATAGCTCATCAATTTCAATAGCTATATCTCCCTAAATGAGAGCTCTATTTTTTTATAAAATTTAATTTTGATTCCATAAATAAATTTTATTTCTAAAATGAGTATTTATCATTTTCTTCTCCCCGTTATATATTATATATTTGAAGTATGTATATATATATATATAATATATACATATGTATGTATACATATATACATGTTTGTATACATATATATAATATTTTTATTATTTTTCAAAATTTTGTCTATAATTGGCAGGCTGAAATGGTCAATTAACACCCTTTACCCTCCCTTTTTGTAATTTAGCATGGATTTAAGTAAACAAAGTTCCCTTTAAACAATAAATTTGTTAAATTTTTAAGACCTACCTGCCTCAAGACAGGGGTAATAAGTAAAGCAGGGCCCCATAAGAACTGAGTATCCTCAATCCAGCTATTGGTGTCAGTATAAAACCTAAGAACAATGACAATGTTTGCCAAAAAAAGATAGAATGTACATTTTTTATTCCAACTTCCCCATTTTGTTTATCTTTTTATTTCTACCCTGTGATGACTACTAGTTTTTAATTTTTTTTCATATGTAATTTTTGCATCCTTTTGTTCATGAGACAAAAAAAGAATAAATAAGGGTTGAACAGAGGAACAGAGGAAGAGGAAGAATAAAAAAGTAATTAGTGCATCCAGTATTAGAAAAACCTATCATATATCAATTTTATAAATGTATCTTATGTGCGATAAACAATGATTATTTTCCTTTTTTTTTTTTCTGTAGGATGGGTTGGTAAAGTTCCAGAAATCTTTCATGTTTTACTTTATTTCATTTAAATCTTTTCATTATAAATCATTATTTGAGTGGTATATCAGTCATGCTTTATTTTGTCCTATTTTATATTTATTGAAGTAATATTGCAATAAAACATATAAGTTCCTGGTGTGTATCATTGTAAAACAATATATGTATATACTGCGTGGGAAAAGGGCTTGCATTGGTCAATAGATATACAAAGATAAGCAAAAGGCACTGAATTCTAAAAAAAAAAAAAAGTTCTATTCTTTACTTAAGGTGATTTTCACAATTTATACACAATATGTTTAAAAATGTATATTTACCTTCACTCATATAATATTGCTAATGTTTTCAATGTAAATAGTTTTTTTTAAAGTTCCATTCAGTTCTCACATTTCTCACTTAATGTTATCTAAACCAAAAAGAACTATATTTTTGACTATCATCCTACATCTCATCAAATTATTGAAACTAATGTCAAAATAACCAACAGAATCCTAAATGTGATTTTTTATTAAAATCACTAATTTTTTTTTAGATTGGTAAATACAACTTGTATTTAAATCATTGAACATAGTACTCACTCATGAAGAAATGGCCTTGCCACTGTTTCTCCAAACATGTGGGCTTTATAAAACAGAGTATACAGGAAAGGTAGTAATGTGTAACGGATATTCAGGTAGTGCCTTGATGAATTAACCAAAAGAGAATCCGGTCCAAAAAATGCTGGGTCCTGATGCTGTGGGATGAAATGAGAAATTGAAGAAGAAATCTAAAATATGATAAAAATTAAAATAGAAGCAGTTAATCTGTTTTTGATAAGCAAATATCCTAATTTTATAGAAAAATCTTACTTTATCATTAAAATATAAAAAGTGTTTCTACTTTTTGTTTGTTTTCATATGGATATGAAAATATCCAAATGAAATGTGGAAATATATGAAATATACAAATGAATGTGCTGTCTATCAGTGGGTAGGCAATTCCACAATGTAGGGTCTTACATGTGTACCAATCATTAAGAATAAAAAATAAGAAATACTCAGAATTTCCCAGAAATTGAACTAAAATACAAAGTTGCATCCAAAATTACAACCAAATAACATACCTCAAATGCAGAAAATCATAAATGTTAAGAGGAATTTATTAAAGACAATAAAAGGAACCAAGTTATATTTTCTAGGTAACACAAATGCCAGATGTACTATTTTTAAGAAATGTGAACTCAGTACAAATATAGTAAATCATTCCTGAAATAAGCATTTCTTATTTTCTAGCAAGCTTATATGTGTCATTGGACCTTCAACATTGATTTTAATCAGTCCTATGCTTCATTTGCGATTCGTGTTTGATTGTGCTGATAGTCAGATCTAATAATAATGTTTTACTCTTGCATGATCAATAAAATCAAGATTTTCTACTTTATTTTTTAACTGTCTGTTCCCTTCATAGTTAACATAAGAATTTAGAGTTGGATGTAACCAACATGGATCCAAGTAATGGGAAATAATGTATTTCAGTAATATACATTTCTCTTGTAGCCATGGCAGAGCCATATGATTTAATAATTGGCTCCAATTTTCATGGTTCCCTACATGCCCCTCCCCCAACCCCTACCACCAAATAAAACTTTGCTATATAAACTGGAGTCTCTACCAGAAGGGGCATTTTCCTACTATGTAACTTTGTGTTCAACTAATGTAATATTCTGGCTATTGAAATCTAAGTAGAAGTGATAACATTCAAGTGAGGGCTTCAAATGTGCTTTTATCTAGGGAGCAGAGGTGGCCAGCTATTCTGCAGATTTGCAACTTGAGTATAGCCTCCTTGCTGAGCCCAAGCTGTATCAACTGATTCTCTGTAAAGTGAAGTGCTATGAGCCTGCTTGCTCAGATCTTCTGGGGATAATTACCTCAGGACACTGGTTACTTCTCAGGAAAATACCTTCCTATTTTCCCAGAAGCTGCTTTTTTGTTTTTGTTTGCTTTTTAACCTTTGGGTGCTTCCAATTACTCTATAAGCATTGCAGGAATACTACTCATGCCTATTCTTGGGAGATTAAGGACAGTGCCAATGTTTGGTTTTGTCTTGATGATGCTTCATCAAAGTGACTGAAATGTCATAGCATTGGATGCAGCGTGTGAGTATCACACCTCGTTCAGTCTTTCAGTTCCTCTTCATCTTCAGCAGGTTCAAGTCTGAGTTATGGTTGGAAGCTTCTCTCTGTTCCATTCTCCCTCCCCTTTATCCTTCGCAAGCATTTCACCAATAAATCTCTAATATGCTTACATTTCTCTTGGAATCTCCTTTAGGAGTCCATGAATAAATATATTGTGGTATGCCTTCAGATTCTCCTATTAATACAAATGTGTTGAAAACACCATTTAGTAGATTAGGAAGTTACTAATTTCCAGTTTGTGCCTCCAGCTTCTATTCTAGCATAACATTTTGCAGGCTGTGCTTCAGAGGTTTTCCATTTTTGGAAACAGAATTAAGGCCCTATATGTAACCAATGTGTGAAAAATGAATGAGATTTTAGCCAATAAAAACTTAATTGACATAATAGTTACACTTAATTTTCCCATTTCCTCTGAAAAAATATGCCTGTTGGAGTTCACAGCTTGCTAAATTTTGTGGGCTAGTAGAATGACTCAGAATGTCTTAGTAGTATTCCCAAACAAGCATTTTGCAGATGGTGCTTTTTATTTCCAACCTGTCATTCTGATTTACTTATCATAGACTATCGGTTCTAATTTGCAAGTTTGCAAGTATATCTTTTCCTATTTTTTATTTCATTTTATTTATTTCGTTTTTTTTTTAATTACTAAAACCTGTCTTCAACTCTAAATAGTATCTATGTATTACGTGCAAATGACCTAACTGTACAAGTGTCATTAATTTCATGTGTCCCTTTCATGAAAAATCTGGACACCTTAGTAATATGGCAATTTTTATGATAGAAATTTTATATGAAACCTGCATAGCTAGGATCCAATAATGCATAATAATTTTTTTTTTGGTTTTAGTTTAAGACATAATTAATCCCCCTATACATATATTTAAGATTTACATAAAACATGTTGTGACTACATTATTGTCCTTGATTTTATTATTTTAATACATAAATAGTTCTAGAACTTGAGATAAAGTCTTCTAATTCTTATTCACTCTCATAGTACAAATCCCAGGTCATATCTTCTATAGATACCATTAACTACATTTATAACATAGCATTATATTTTACTTTAAAGCATAGAGAATAGAAGGTACTACCTGATATCTTTCAGCATTATGGTTTCTGGAAAATGGATAAAATGCCCCAAGTTGCATCCACCTCCTGCAAAGCTCTTCTGTAGTTTCAACAACAAAACCACAGATATCTGCTCCAACCTAAAACATAAGTTCATGCATACATAAGTAAATAACATACATTGCAAAGATTATCAAATTTACAGAGAACATCATATTTCTAAGCCTCAATTCATTAATTTTGTATTACTTAAACATCTTTTTAGTCATTCTAGTTCATAGACACATCCCTAAGCAAATTGCTTTATATTCCATTTTTGCTACATGCTTGCCTCTAATTGCATTACTTGACACACTCCTTTCTTGTCTCTTTTTACATTTTCTTATCCTCATGTATATTCTTTTGCTTCACCCAATTATTACTTCTGTGTATAAAGGCAATTTTTTTTAAAGATTTATTTATTTCTACATACTGAACTGGGGTTCAGGTGAGAGGTTCAGGGGCAGTGAGAGGATTCACAAGAGGCAGAGTGGGAGCAGAACAGGCAGATCAAGGAAGTACACTGCTGAGGAGAGCAGCAGGCAGGTCAGGAGAGGTCTGCCGAGCCATGTGGGTCACCTCCAGGGTGGGGGATCAAACTCATGCTGAAGTGGCTTTAGCTTCTTAGTGCTGTGCTCCAACCCGCTGCACCACCAGGGAGGACAAAGGCAAATTTATTTATTTTTTTTAAATTGAAGTGGTGCTGCTTCTGAATATAAAATTATTAATTTTCCCCACTATTATTATTCTCCACTATTATTGCAAGAATAATATAGTTTAAAAAAATGAAAAAAGAAAAGAAAAGCATCTTTCCCACATTGAGTACTTTTATAAACTGGCACTCCTCTTCCTTTAAGGACCTTGCAGAAAAACAAAGTGAGTATTCTTAATGTAATATTTAATATTATTCCTAATATTATTATTCTTAATATTATTCTTTAATTTAATATTATTCTTTAGTTTTCTGAATTTTATTCATGAGTCTATACCCAACACATAGCATCGCTTTACATTATCACTTTATATAAACAGAATGTGTGTAAATTAAATTGCAATCTTTCTCCAAGTGTTAATTTGTGAGACTTAAATATATCAACATTGTTCTAATTCTCTACAGTATACAATCCCTTGAATATAGAAAATCGTTCTATAAAATTGATATATGTATATGTATGTTTATGAATATACAAAAATGTACTTGTCCTATTGCATATGCAATATATATTATTATTATTTTCTTCATGTATATTGTTTAATCTAAATTGTTTATAACCTTTTCTAAGCACAGTTTCAGTGCATGAAATTCTCATTGCTCAATATTCTTGCCGACTGATAGATTTTCAATTTTCACTACCCAGAAATATGTATTTAACATTTTATTTTAAAGTAATAATAAATGTGTCTCTAATCTTGTGCCATAGGTCTTCAATCTATCTGGACAGACTTTTTTGTATGTATATGTGAGAAATAGAGACTTTTTTTTATGCATGAATAGTCAGTTTTCCATATGAGTTGTTGATACTTTCCTCACTGACCTTCTGTGATCACCTATCATTCAACGCATTTATTTTATTTAAATACTTATTTTTATTTATTTATGCATACAAACACTGAGATGTAGGCCAAAAGTGTGGGGGTGAGAGGATTTAACAGAGACAAAGTGGGGAGCAGAACAGGCTACTATAATGAACGCTGCTGGAGAACAACAGGAGAGACTGGAGAGGTATGTTGTACCCTGTGGGTAGTCCCTTAACCAGGGACCCAACTCAGGCCACAAAAGTTGGCGATAGCTTGGCAGCACTGAGATTTTTTAACTTCTATGCCACCAGGGAAACCAATGAATTTCTATTAATGAATGGGCTTGTGTTTTCTTTTGTCACAGTTATTTCCAAATACAAGATTCTGTGTGTGGATTTTTATTTATTTATTGTTTGGTTGGTTTCCAGTTTTCATTTTGTTCAGTGACTATGAAAGGAGAAATTAATCAATTACTAATTTCTTGATATATTTTATATTTATAACAGTATGTATTAAATAGCAACATTGTATGTCTCTTTTTTGCATGATGAAAGAAGTCATCTTTGATTTTATGGTTTGAATATTCTGTAATAAATTTCCTCCACTTTAAAAATTTGTCTGTGTCCTCCTTAATCTTATAGAATAAATAGTATTATTTTCTTTTTAAC